TTCCTCTTGTTGCCGAATTCCGAAACCCGACACCTACCGTAAACCTACCCGAACCTAGGGTACAATCCACCCTAAACTTTCCCTAAACCTTCCCTAAACTGTCCCTAACCTACCCTACACTTTCCCTAAACCTATCCGAACCTTCCCCAACCTACGCTAAACCTGCCCTAACCCTAAACCTTCCCTAACCTACCCTACACCTTCCCTAAACCTATCCTAACCTTCCCCCCCTGTCAGGTGCCGCGTTTGTGGGAGGAAGCCAGGTGAGCCACAATCAAAACCCTGGTAGATGAAGGTTAGTAAGGGGCAGTCCCAGCCGGAAATAGTTGCGGCTAATTCTTTACATTCTGGGTTCACCATTGTTGTACCAGGTTTTGACTGCGACTCAAATGGACTCTTTTTTTGGGGGGTTCCATTTGGAGAAGCACTCCGTTGAGATGAAGATTCTGTGGGCCCGGTCTCAGTGGCTACCATCCAGATTTCTGAAGGGTGGTTCCCAGCCATCCGGTTTGGGTTTCGCGGTAGTTTCCATTGAACCACGGACACTTAAACTCTTGGCAAGCGATCTGGGAACAGCCCAGTTTCCCTTTAGGAGCATGTTCGTCATTTTGTCCGTCGCTTGGATCGCCCGTGGCAATGCACTTGAGGCGTTGGCCCTAGTGCCTCACACGCACGAGTCCGATCTCATTTGGATCCAGGCGCGATCCGCGTTTGCATCACGGACCCCGGACAAGGGGCAGGAAAATCGTCGGCAGAACGCGGCTTTAAATTTCACTTCGCCAGGGGACCGCACGACTTTTCCACTTCTTGGGTTCCACTTTGGGCCGACTTGAGAGAGCCACACATCAGGGCTTCTTTTCTTCCCAGGATGGATCCCCCGATGCCCACTTTAGAAGTTTGCAGCGGGTAGACTCGAGGGCTTGCTTGTCCTGTTCGGGCGGTAGCACCCTTTCAGACCTCAGGCGACCCCCTTGAAGCTTTTGGGATGCCAGACTCGCGCTTCTCTTTAAACTCCTTGAAGCTCCAATTCACCCGATGGTGACAACTTAGCTTGGGCCAAAAAGACGCGCCGGGATTCTCCCACACATCTCGGGGATGCAAACGGTGGAGCAACACACGGCACCATCCCACGAGGTTGGGAGGTTCGCCACCCTGAGGATGGACGAAATCCTCCCACTTGGGGTAGATGCACCCCTCTGAATAGGATAATTAAACCACCTAGAAACTGGTGCAGGACTTTGTCCATCCACTTGTGAGGAATCAACGAGCATTTCAAAAGAGATCTGAACGGCGGGTTCTGGCCTTTGATCAGTGGGGTTACACTCCCCGTTGGAAGAAGAGCCCAACCCGCGTGTTTTGCTCCAATGCTGCGGGCGCCAGCGGTGGACAACGGACTTCCAAGAAAAATCCCAGTCAGGTTCCACGTGGGAAACCCGCCCTGCATGGTTGTTGTTGGGAAACATTTTACATTTTTGCTTATTGTGGTGTAGTGGGGAATCCCCACTTAACTGCTAAAATCTAGATTTTTGCTCCCCTTCCAACGCCAACCAAGTCTGAGACAGCTGCAGGACTACCATTTGATGATGTCACCCACCTTCATAGCGCGCAAGCCTGCTGCTGAGTAACCGAGTGAGAGAGAGGTGTGGTGTGCATGGGCTAGCCGCGTTTCCCCCAGGCCCGAAATGGGGAGGGACGGTTGGATGCCTGTTTCGTTTTTCTTTGCTTTGACACTTGTGCCATGTGGATGGTTACGAAATCCATGTCGCAGCTGGGATGGAAGCCCGACTTGAATGCTGGTTGATAAACCAAGAAGCGCAAAGAGATCCGCTGGCCCGGTACAAAGGGGTTTTAAAGGGACGCCACAAGGAACATCGAAGCCATTTTGGGGGTTCCAGGGGTCCGTTTCCTAAGACTCCCCCAAAGTGGACTCAAACCCGGTGGTTGGCTTTTCCCCAAAAAACAACCCCCGTGAATTGATTCGTCTACCTCGAGGTCAAAAAACCACTGGAACCCTGGAGTTCCACATGGACGGACCGCGCCGAGGCTCCACAAGGCGAACATCGGGTTCTATTTGCACGTGCCCCCCGGGGGTTTCGCCGGCTTCGGGCTCGCGCGGGGGTGGTGTCGGAGGTCAGGTCGGGAGTTTTTTTTTTTCTTCTTTCCAATTCCTGGTGGTTGGTGTCAACTTCGGGTTTTCCGTTCCCGGTTTTAAAGGGAACCCCCTATTTTTCAGGAATTTGTAGGGTGGGGTTCAAAAGGGGGTTCTCGAAGGAAATCTAGGGTTCTCAACTGCCTACCCTCCTTGTACCTGCCCCCCTTGGGCATTCCATCATTATTTTTCAGAAACGCGATTCGGCGCCCAATCATGCAGAGCACGTCGAGAGGGCTCCCGACCGTTTTGAGGGGGCCTAAAGGTGGCCGTTTTTTTTTTTTTTGCAGAACCTCAAACGGATTCGCCATGGAATCGAATCCGGGACCTCCACCTGTTTTGGGCAAGAGAAGATCTTGGCGCTAGAGAACAGGTTCTCCCAGAGCCAGGACATGTAGAGGGGTTTCTCAAAAGGTGGAACTTCTTGTCCGCTGCGGATACGGGAAAGCAAGTAGTCTAATAATTCTCCTCTCTTTGCGAACATGTGCAGTTGTAAAAACAAGCCCCAAACGTGGTGTGATCTGATTTGTTCAATGTTGAAGGGTGAACCTTGAAAATCACCAGGCGCCTCATGGCGTGATGACCTTGTTTGATTGGTTGCCTCCGAGACAAGGGAAGTACGCCTGGACATGTTCGTGCTCAAGGTAACTGGTCTTGGGTTGGTACTGATGGAGACCGGAAGCCACAGTCCACCCATGTCCTTCAATGAACCAAAGACTAGTAGGATTGTCCGAGAGCGGGCATCTACTTGACGCTCTCGGCCTCACCTACATACGCAGCAGCCGCCAAAGGCAAAGGCAGCGCCCCGTCAGAACGCGAGACATAAGAGATCCACGAAGACCACAGAACGTGCTGATCATCACACAGCGCACGAAAGTCAATTGGAGAACGGTCAGGCATCGCAGAAGCAGCAATCCCAAAATCCCAAATTGGATCTGACACCGAAACAGCAGCAAAGACATCAATGTGCTGATCAAGGAAAAAAGTGCACGCACGCCAAGCAGACAATAGAGCAGGTGAGCGGCTCGGCGGCGGTACTTTAGCAATGCGCAAAAGCAACACCAAAGACAAGCAAAGAGACACCGCGCGAGGATTGTACATAGCTGAACACTCCCTGAGAGCCAGCGATGCAACCGGAAACCTCTTTGACAACACGAGAAAAAAGCCGACATGAGGCTGAGATGCATGAAATTATTCTCATGCGGCGCAGTGAATGCGTGTGCTCAACACGATGAAAAGAGCCGACAGATGCATGAATTTGTTCTCATGTGCCGCAGTGAACGCGTGTGCTTTTTACCCCCCCCCCCCCCCCCCCCCCCCCCAGCCCCAGCGCGGCGTGGAACGACAGAACGACAGCTGAAACGCCGCGAACGACCAGGCGCCCTTTGGCGGCACTAGCTCAATCAGCTCGTCGAAATCCTGATCCGTCCAACGTGTTTGCAGGGCACTTGGGCAGGGGCTGTCAACTCACTGGGATGATCGGATCTAGATTCCAGTAGCACGACGAAAAGGAAAGCCAAGCAAGCAAGTATCCAGCAATGAACAAAGACAAGGAGTGAGGGCGAAGGCTTCATGGTGAGACCGAAGGATTCCACCCGCTAGCCCCCCGCTCCCCAACCACCTGTTGAGATGAGGCTTCCGGCCCCTGGCCTATGCTGGGAATTCATGTTTTGAATTTTTCATACCGTGGATGGTTGCAAAATTCTAAAGCTACCTTCCAACCCTTTCCAGGGATCCGAATCTTCTAGAAAACCTCCGGAAACCCAGCGAAAACGGCGATCGGTTTTTGAAAAGAACGATGGTTGAAAATAATGGTTGGAATCAGCCAGTAGAAAGAACCATTTCGCAACCCTGGAAGGATTTGATTCCACAAACACCAACAAACCAATGGCTTCCCATGGCTTCACAGTGGTGCGAAATGGATTTTGTCCACCCACAGTATGGGCATGGGTCAAAATGAAGCCACCAGGAACCGGACCGCAGGTTTTAGTTCTTGGCTTCATGTACCGATCGGCCAACCCATTTTGGGGACCTATTTTTGACCCACAGCCATATGAGTCACAATCAAAACCTGGGCCGTTGGTTGGAGGTGGGGACAATCCCCTTGCCATAAATGAATTGGCGCGGATCTTTTGTCTTTCCAATTCTTGAAACATGGTTCTGGGATTACGACCATGTGAATACCGCCTAGATAGCCAAGTTGCGATCGCTTTTTTCAGTCACTGTTGCTGGTTGTGGGGTAAAGTTCATTAAAAAAAAAAAAAAAAAACAGCCGGCGATCCAGGCGGGTTTTGATAGCCAAGTTGCCGCATTTTTCAGTCTGTTGCTGGTTTTTGGGGTAAAGTTCATGGAAAGAAAACACCACTGGCGATCGACTGCAGGTTTTCCTGTGTTCGACCGCGGGCCGCCAGGTACCTTTTCCCTCCTCCGACAGCTTCAAGACGCTACCCTGCCGCGAGGCAGTTCCGGGTGAGTCTGAGATATGGCTAAGGGAACCACCTCCAAAGTGAGTTTTGTGAATCCCCACCAAAATGATCTTTGCCATTTCGGGTCCCTTAAAAAAGATAATCAAGCATACCCATATGGGCATGTGTGTTTATGAGGTCACCTCTTTTCACTCTGGTTTAAAGGGAAGCAACCAGGAGACCCACATTTTCTTGGGCCCAAATCCCTGTCAAATGACACGTATAATATGAGGGCCGACAAATTGGGGTCGTGCATGGTTGAGCCTGGCTACTTTTCTACCCCCAGCCTGGGGTGTCTCACCCAACTCAAAGAGTCCCCAATTTTGAGACGGACCCACCTGTTTCTGCTGGCAAGCTGAAGAATTGGTTAGGAGATCCTGGCCGGCATGCTCAGCCCGGGGCCACAGATCGTTGTGGTGTGTCCGGGGGTCATATTTGGTTGAAGGGGCCAGTGCGGAGATGGAGCAGCCCACGGTCTGGGGTTCAAGGCACTTGCTTTTTCCCTCAGTTGCTCAAAGCCGACCCTTTAAGTTTTTGTTTTTTTGCATTTCCTTCCCCAAAAAGAAGAAGAAGAAAGAAAACAACATATAAGTTGATATAAGGGGCACCGCTAAAAAAAGGCTGAGGAACCCAGAAATTCCTATGCTGAAGGATCCCCGGTGGCAACACAACTGCTTTCGGTTGGAATGGGGTCTTTTCAGTACTAGAACCACTTGGTCAGTGCCAAACGCCAACCTGTGACAAGCAGCCGGACCTCAAGCCCCCCAGAGGAAATTTGTAGCAGTTAGATTCCATCTTGGAAAGAGAGCAAGAAGACAACCGTTTTTGAGTTGCATCCCTTTCAGCAAACACCCTGCCAAAGCCGAAAAAAATCGACAGCTGTTGCACTTCATAAGTCCCCATGTGGAGTATATCTAGAAATCCCAACGTGGGATTCACTCACGTCAAGCCTCCCATGTTGCATGGATAAAAAAAATACTCGAGTCTTCAGCGAGGTTCTTCACGGCTGTCCCACCTCTCCGGTCCCACGCTTTTAGCACTCCAAACTTGGGACCAATCATAGCAATCAAGATTCATCGGTCAAAAAAAGGGGTCCGAGACCATGTGAAGAATCAAAGGGGCGGAAATCCGCACCCATACTCATACTTCTGGTTGGGATTGCTCCTTAACCTTCATCTACCCGGGAGTTTCCAAGACGTGGCTCACATGGCTTTGTTGCAGTTGCGCCCAACTGTGCCGTGGAAAGAAAAGCTGGGACAATCCGCAGGGCCTCACCGCTAAGTGGCTCCTCTTTGGACCTAGCCTCAAGGAACAGAAAAAGCCACTAATCCCCTCCCAGCCAATAGAGCCAACGACAAAATCTGAGCGAGCCGAAAACGGGAACTCACTTGCCCAAAGGACCCAGAAATAAAATGTTAACCTTTTGGGGCCATGACGAGAAATGGACCAAAACTGGAAAACCCAGTTTTCCCGTTTTTGTTGTTTTCCCTTCTTTTTTTTGGGGGGGGAATCCTCTTTTGGTTGGTTTAAGGGACACCCACGAGGAAGCCAGCCATTTTTTTTTGGGGGGTCCCTAAAACAGCCACGCCCAGATGAATCTGAGGCGGGATTTGCAAGTACCAGCCAGAAAGGAGGGTTGGCCAATTTTCACCCCCAAGCAGCACACACACACAAACACACCCTCCCCGCCCTGCCCTTCCCTGGAGATATTTTTGGCCTGCTGGGGTCAAACATGTCAAACAATGCAATTCATCATGATATATATTCGCTCATTGGGTGTTTCTCAAAGTTAGGCATCCCTCCGGGTTGGTTTCCTTCTGGCTTGCCTCCCGAAACCTCAGTGCCCAATTTAGAGAACCCAATTTCATGGTGGTTTCCCTTTACCCCCCCCTTTCCCTCAAAGAAGGTAGCTTGCCCGAAAATTCTCGAATCTTAGGTGCGGACCAGATCGGTTTCCAGTTCTTCTCCTACGCGCGCAACTTCATCGTGAGCTGCGTGGGCTCACGGATGGCACTGTGAGAGGGGGTTGTGAGACTAGGTAAATGGAAGAGGGGGACCACCCCCCCTCCACCTGAAGGCAGGCTCCGCATACACCAGCTTCCGCGAGGGGGGAGGGAAGGGATCATGGTTGGGTGTTCAACCCCTTGTTGGCCATGTTTGAGCTGTAGGTTCAACAACCCACTCAGCCCTTCACGTTTTAGTTTTGGCAGCTGCCACTCTCAGCCAGTGCAGTCGGCACTGCTTTGCCAACGACTCCGACTCCGCAAGCTTCGGAAATCTCCGCGGCCCGATCCCCAAGGCTGCTTAATGGCTAGCGTTACGAGCTTGAACGTATCATTTGTACAACTATCCAGCGCAATTGCTAGGCTTGTTTTGCGTATCAGTTTGTAACTCTTTGAACAAGCGGTCTGTTAGCGCAAGGAATGTCGGCAGCGAATGCAGCCAGACAGCCCGTGTGGACGCTTGCTGCCAGCATTGAAATCACTAAGCTCAACACTCTGGTTTGCCTTTTCATGGTTGAGCAGCCTGTTGGTTTCCTCCAAACGAGCCCCGGTTTCCATCAACTCCGGATTAATATACCCCTGCTCTATTCTTACGAAAGGGGTGCCCCTTAGTGGGAATTCAGTTCTGGTCATTTTCAGCGGGGGGCTGCAAGCCAAAGCTTTTTGCTACCTTTCCATGGGCTGGAAAGCACCCCCAATAAACCCCGGTTTCACAAAATTTCGTGGTTTTCCTCTTGGCCGTCCCTTAAAACACCAGCAAGAAGGGTTCCCCTGGGGTTCAACCCCCATGAAAGGAATGGCAAGGACCCAATTTGGAGGATGAACATCCTTTGGTAAATAGTGGTGGTTATATTAACCCCCATGGTTTTGCCGGTGGTAAATGAACCGCAGGGGAGCCCTTGTTGGTGTTTTAAGGGACGACCAAAAGGACATCCCACGACATTCCGAGAAAGCCCCGGGGTGTTCTTGAGGGGGTGCTTGCCAACCTGTGGGGTCGCAAAAGCTTCCGGGTCTCCGAGCGCGAGCCTCGAGCGAGGCAAGCGGATCTATGGCCTTGAGCCCACCTTCCGCACGGGGGGATTTATGGGCCTGGGGCCCCAGGGGGCCAGGCGAGTCCATGGGAGGGGGCTGGCTGCGGGGGGGGGGAGTGGAGAGGGAGGGCTTGAGGGGGGGTTGGCCTGGGGGAGTGGAGCCATGGACTTTACTTTACATGAAACGAAGGGTTGCAAAAAAGGAGCTTGGGTTTTAGCACGGCGGAAAACCCAAAAGCGACCATCTTCTTTGCAGGCTCAGCTCAGCTTGTTTCTCCTCTTTTTTGGGGGTTGCGATTGTTTTCCATTCAAGCCCACGGACGGTTTTTTTTTTCCTTCAGGGGGTCTGAGTCTGGCCTTATATGTCGTCTAAGCGGCTGTTATGAAGAACCTTGGGATAGGAAACTCCGTTAGTAACCTTAACCCTGGGTGGTTAGTAACCTTATATGTTCCGGTGCCACAGACACTTTAGGTGGGATGTTGCATCTCGCCCCCCAAAGAAAGAGAAACAACAAAACAAGACAAACAATCACAACCAAAAGAACACGATCACAATCACCACGTGTCCAGGGAGAGGTTTGGAGGTTTGGCGGTTTGGCGGTTTGGGCGTGGTTCAGGGGACAAGGGCCGATGTGGCTGTGGGTCAAAAATGGGTACCACAATAGGTTGGACTGGTAAATGGAACCAAGGACTAAAACCAGCGGTTTTCTGGTGAATCTGCCTGGATCGCCAGTTGCGATCGCTTTTTTTACATCCACTTTACCAAACACCAGCAACAGTGACTGACAAAAGCAGCAACTTGGCTATCTAGGTGGTTGCATTATTATTGTGACACAAAGGTTTTGGTTCGCCGATGTGGGGAAAACCTGACGCTTCCTTTCCTTGGGTCGCTTATAAGGGTCTCTTATTTGTGCGTGTCTTGTTTTAAGGGGACCCTTTCCAAAGGGAACCAGAGCCATCATTCGATCCGGAGGAATCCGAATTCTATATTCAGACACACCCATTTGGGGTTCGTTGAATTGCTTATCTCGTGTCCAGTCGTTGAGTGCGGGGGTCATTCCCGAGAGTCAACCTTCTCCTTCATTCACCTTCATTCACCCCACCCAGACTCTCCCGATCAACTTAAGTGCCCTCCAAACAGCCAGGTTTTGAGACCCCCAAACAATCTCGGGCTGTCTAATGGAGGGGTCGGGTCTTCCATGGAAAGCCCCAGGAGCCTCTGGGCAGAACAAAACGAGCAACGGGCAACATACATTGCCAGCTAGGGACCTTGAAAGTGATGTAGGCCCCCTTCAACAAGAAGCACCGAGCCCCATCTTGGCGGTTCGCGACCATGCCCTTAGACATTTGAACGATTTGAGTTGAGAGGAATCTATGGCATACTGTGGATGGACAACATCATCCTGCACCAGGTGGCAGGTGGTCTATCCCAGCATTCATAGGGTGGGAACAACGCCATCCCAACTGGTGCGAAAGTTTTGGGTTTTGTCCATCCACCTCCCATTTTTTTGTCCACCCGCATCCCACGATAAGTTCTCATTGGTGTCCTTTTTGGCTGTTTTTGAAAAATAGAAGGCCCTGGTTTACCTGGTGGTCCAATCATCTACCAGGGCCATCTATTTTCCAAAAGGGACACCTATGACAGTTCCACTTTGAGCGGCTGAGCCAACCCACGCAACGCGCGATCGAACCACGCAGCCCGATCGACCTCGATCCAGGCCTCGACTGGAACGGCCGCAACGTGATGGTGAAGGCGGGGGGGTTTTGCAGACACAAAAACAACCGATGAGCCGATGCCCGGCCGGTTTAGTGCCCGCTGCGCGTGGCCGAGTGATATGGGTGTGGCTCAGAATTAAAGAGCTAGGGCTACGCAGATTTGGAGTCTTTGGTTCCATTTACCAAGGTGCCAATTTGGTACATTTTATTGAGCCACAGCCATATGGACACCGATGGGTAACTTATGTGAGAAAAACATCTGGCCGGTTTCGTGGGCCCCGTGGCATGTGGCCGCCCCACTTCGCTTAGGTCAAAGGTGTAGACCAGAAAGCATGATGGTGCTACCCACAAGTCGGGTGGGCGCTGCTCGTGAGGGCGAAATCAAGCGACCACGCCTGAGAGCCGGGGCTCGGATGGAGCTAATTTTGCTGGTCAGGTGCTGTGGGGAGTTGTTTTTTGGGTTTTTTGGAGTATTTGAGAGTCTCAAATAATGTATTTTCTGGACCATTTGAGGGTCCAATTTCTGGCTTCAGACAATTTCTTAACGCACTGACGGACCGTACACCCCAAACCACCAAGTAGCCGCTATATGACGGCTTTTACCGGGTTTCCCACTGGGGGCAGTGACCATTTTTCAAGCGGTTCTGTCGCCTGGTTTCATGGGGAGTGCAGTGCTAGCGAAAAAGAAGCCATTGCAACCATGTCGATAGAGCCAAGCACCCAGAAGCTCGCCGGAGCTGAGAAAGGTTCATTTTAGGGGCAACTTCTTCCTTACAGCAACCCTGTTTCAAGCTTTTCTTGGGTCGGTTTAGGGTTCCTCGTATAATACGCAACCAGCCAAGAAAGGATGCCCTTTTCCTCCCATGGCCACAAAAAACATCTAACTGGAAAAGACTTGGCAAATCCGGACGCAGGGTACACTCCCAAAACACGACACCTTTCAGATTCCATGGCCTTAACCTTGGGGGGGGGTATCTGATGAGAGGTCCCCCAGGTCTGAGGCTGGACAATTCATCACTGGACTATCCTGTCAGGATCCATGTCGTCAACAGATACAGGTTGACCTGGGCCAGGGATGGTCAACTCAACCTCTTAGGTCCAATGAATGAGGTCGTCAAACCACACATGTTGACCCGGGCTAGGTCAACTTATCCTCGGAATGCTGTGAGTCGTCAGGTGAACCACTTTGCGTACCCTTACCAGGCGGGCTCAACTGCTCCAGCGAGAGAATGGGCCAACTGGTTCGGCTGGAGTTTCCTCAGGTGCTCCGACGGTTTAACGCGTTTCGTGTTGGTTCCATCGCTGCTCGGCAAAAAAAAAATCGCCGCACGTTTCGCCCCGATCTCTTTGTTTGGCTTGGCACGCGCAGTGCCGTTGCCAGAATTCGAGGGGGCAAGTCTTTGGATGTAAAGGGAGGAAAAGGAAGCCAGCCAATTTGTTGGGCACTTTTGGGGCACACCCCTGGTTTTCCACGCGCGGGGGACATCGTCTGCCTGGGTTCAGGCCCCGCCTGAACCCCGCGGCAAGTACGGAAAGTGCCTGCATGTGCCCCATGCCTTGTGTTGAAAAGGGATTTGAGGATATCAGGACTTGAACGATCTGGGCCAAAAGGGATCTGAGTCATCCGATTGTAGCAAACCGCTTCAAATCCTGGGGGATGGACCGGAATTGCCCCTATGAATTCTTGTCGGGATTTTTTTCCAGCATCAGGTTGAGAGAGGCTTGTGCGAGCGGGGTCAAGCATCACCAGCAACCCCGAACGCAGATTGGGGACTTGTTTTTGGGAAATCCAGGGAGGAAGTGAGTTCTGGGACGGTAACGCGGGCCCACCAAGCCTCCTGCTTGTCTCACAATCTGTCAACCCCCCCAAACTGCTCTTGCCTTAGAAGCACCCCAGAAAAGCCACCCGCAACAAGCCACAAGTTCAGAGTCAGCTCTTTCTTCCTCCTTTTGGACCCCAACCATCCAGAAACCCCAGCAGCTTCCCGCCGTGTCGGCCGGGTCGGCCGAGACCCGAAGTGGGGGCAGGCGAGCATCAAGGTGGTGGAGAGCGAGGAGGTGCAGCAGGAGGCCGAAAAGGCGCGCCCGGAGTTTTCTCGGGTTCCGAACCGAGCGCTTCCGACCAGAAAGCGCGTTCGGAGACGCCCTGGTTGGTGTCTCCCGTTTTCTGGCTGGTGCTCTCGGTAATGAGGGAATGACCCCTCTAAGCCATCCTTTAAGGACCCTTGGGTTCATTCCCACATTCCCTACTGAGCACCAGCAAGTTTTGTTTGGAGGGTAATGTCTGGTTGTCCAAATAGGTGTGTCATCTTTTTCGAGGCTCTGTGCCAAAAAAACATGAGTTGGCGTTTTTAACGGGAGAACGAACATGGACCAAACTTTCACGGCCTTTGAGACAAACCCACATGCTTGCAACCTGTTTCCGTTGGTTTTCCCCGTTGCCTTTGCAGGGAGCCCTCCGCCTTTCGGAGCCTTCCCTTCACTTTCCCCCTTTGAAACCGCAAAAAAACAACTGGGGCTTCAACCCCCAACCCCAACCCCAACCACCAGATGGGAAATTTCTTGCGAGAAGCCACCAAGAACACACTTTAGTCTCATGAACACATCCAAGCTGTCACCAAAGGACATTTCTTGCGAGAAACCACCAAGAACACACTCATCCGCCTTCCCATGAAAACCTCCTGCTGTCCAAAAGATCATTGGAGCCTCCGGCACAAGCTCCGCCACCAGCCAGGGTTCACAGCTCGCTGGTTCGGCTCGGCTCGATGGAGCGACCACAAAGGGGCGAAGGTCGTAGCTCGGTGCGACCCGTTTTTTTTTTTGGGGGGGGGCAATAGTAAGGCCGAAAGGTATCCTTTCCGGTTGTTTGGGTCGAAATCTAGATGGTTTCGATTCCTGGCTTACCTGGTGGGTGAATCATCTACCAGGGCCATCTAAGTCCCCAAAGGACACCCTTGTTAAGGTCTGTATATGCCTTTGTAACCATCTTAGCAGAACAAGTCAATGGCTTTTCAGCGCTGCTCTCTTGGCTCCCACTACATCTTATCTTCGGATTTCTCAAACGGAGGACACCACACAAGCTTTTTATGTCAGGACATGGATCTTGTAGGGTCCTTTGAGTAGGGTTCTCCGGAAATCCGAAGTCGACAGCTTGAGTCCTGTGCAACTCACCAATGGTTTGGTAGTCCTACTTGACCCCACATTAATCAACCAAGCTGTGTATCTATTTTTGGGTGGTTTTGGTATCGTTAAAAGTGGTCTGATTCCAACCACATTTCACCCAGGAGAAGTACCGCCCGATCAATCAATTGGTTGGTTGATTAATATGGGGTCAACATTCCCCCGGTGCTAAGTCCTGGACCATTTGAGGAACAGGTTTCGGCCAAGTAAGCGGCTTGTCGCTCGGGTTAATCATCCTTTGGTGGCTCCTTCCGGCTTTGGTGGCTCCTTTTGTTGCTCCTTCCGGTTTGTTTGCTGCTTGGGCAATCATCTTTTGGTGGCTCCAAGCAACCCTGTGGATGTTCGGCCAAGTTGGTTGGTGAGATGAACAGGTTCGAATCTACTCACCGGGCTAGCTCTACTTTGGGGACTTTCTTGGTATGGACACCCAAGATAGCTTTGGCGGTGCCTTTTTTCCCCTTTTCGCAATCGGCCCGTCAGAGAAGATACCGCCATTCTGCGCTTTTTCCGACAAAGCCGGCCAGTTTCTGTGAGTCTGGGCATCTGCGTTCTTCAAGGGGTGCCATATCTTTTCCCCTCTACTTATTACATGAACTTCTAGTGGTAAAACAAACAAGCCTCAAAAGTGGATGTATATTTCCCAGATTTGAACTTCGGATGTAGTTGTATGTAATTATCTCATAAGTAGATGGTTGTTTGCCCATATTTTGAGATTTGTACGTAACCATCTCACGAGAAGTTGTTTGGATTGTGCCATGCATGGTTGTTGGGAAGCATTTTACATCTTTGCTGAAATGGTGGTTTAGTGGTTGAAATCCCACCACTTCTCTGCTAAATTTTGTTTGAAGCTTTGCTCCCCAAGCCCAACGTCAACCAAGCGTGGACCGGCTGAGCCGAGAAAAACCTCTGGCCGCAGGTGAAGGCGCTCTTCCAGGGCCGGACGATCTTTGCGAGCGCGGAGCCCTGGAAGAGATGGACGAAGAGTGTGGACAGGGCGAGCCTCAGTCCAAAACAAAGAGTGTGGCGCGGCTCTCGGGTCCCTGAGTATTTTTTGCTTCTCGCTCGGTTGGTTTAGTAGTTGGGTGTTGGTGTTTAGTGGTAGTTTTGGTTATTGAACCCTGAAAGTGAAACGTTGAGAAAGGATCTGAGGGCCCAAAGAAAGGGCTCCCGCAGCCAGGGTGTCCGAGCTATTTCCCTTCTTGGAGGCTCCAAAAGGGGCGACATCGGTTTCAATGGACACCACCGCTAAACTGATCAACTTTTGATGTGGGGAAAATCCAGTGACCCGTGCAAATAGACCAAGCACATGTCCAAGTGGTCGGTTGCCCCCAAGTTCATGTTGAAACGAGAGGGGTGTGACTGGACTATATAGTTGTTGACTGGTTGCTGGGGGTTCAACCGGGTCTAAAGACTTTTGGGGAGCTCAGGAAAAGGTACGTCAAACGAGCCGTTCCAAATTCCCGAACGGGGCTTTCTGAAATTGAGAGTCAAGGCCGCACAAAAAGGTTTAGATGGGGCAGGCCATGAGGGCAACTCCAAACCTGAACGAGTCAAAACAAAGCTGGAAGCATTCATCGATGCGGCACTGACACTGCAGCGAGGTTGTGGAGGTCCAACAAGCGGAAATTGAGGAACCCCTGTATGCCGATGCCGAGGATCCCTACAGTTGCTCCACCTAAAGGGAGACCGATTGGAAGCCACACATTATGTCCACCTTGTTTGACATATGGGTTTGTCTCAAAGGGGTACCGGTATTTGCATGGATTGTTTTCCTGCGGCGGTCCTGAAAAAACTAACCCCAAATAGGGACTTTTCAAAATGGCGCACCCCCTTTTGCACAACAGCAAACCCTTGCCGTTTCTTTTTTTGGGATCCTTTGAGAAACGCCCACAGACCAACTACACCCCCCGAAAAATTGGGCAACCCCACCCCCCCCCGAAGCATCCTGAGGCATGGACAGAGCGGATGGCCTGTCTGGTCTCATTCCGAAGTTTCAAGCCTTTAAACAGCCCGGGCGCCGAGATGGTGCCGTGCCGGGTTCCAGGGGTTCATTGGGGGTCATGGCGCACCCGCACCGGGTTCCACGTGCGGGGGAAAAACAAAAACAGTCCATGAAGATCCACTTTCAGGTAGGTGAGTATGTGGTGTCAGAAAAGTGTGCGAAGGTGCATGGATTTCCTGGGGGTTCTGTTTGTCCATTCGGCCGCCTTGGAGATTCGGAAGCAGAATGTGTGAATCCCTGGCTGTCGCCTTCGGCGCACTGGTTGTAGATATCCTATTTAGCCATGCCAGTGGACAGCGGCATCTGGAGATTCCGTCCATCACACACTGAATGCTCACTTCTTTCTTTTGGATGGCATGGCATGCTGAGATGCTTTGAAGGCCTCGTGGAGGTCAAAGGAAGGGATGCTGAGGGGGGTGGGGGGTCCTATGATGATACTGGAATTCTTTTCCGCTGTTCTTGAAGCATTGAAGGCTTTCATATTGTTTCATGCATTCTGTTTTTTTGCTCTTGAGGAGAACGCAAACAACGTCTCTAGACTTGATGTATGCCCTTAATTGCGGCGACTTTGAGCGCCCAAGGCAGAAACTAGAAAAAGCCAACTGCGGTCATAGCCTTTTGCCAATCGCGGACTCTATCAGGTAGCCATTTTGAAATGGCAGTCCAACATTCGCCTGTCCACTTCCATTGGAAAAGAGGAATCCACAAGCGTTGCAGACATCTATCCAACACCGGATCTACCAAAAGCGGATATCCAGGTATGTGGGGTTGTGTCAGAATAGGGTGACCCCAGAAATGGATGGTTTCGTCTTTGAAACAGCCCCAAAAGGGTGCGCAACAACGATCAACACCCGTTCGTTTGTTGGTTGGATGCTTCCTGATGCTGTGCAATGCGTTGGGATATAAATTTTTGAATTTGGGGCAAGTTCGAGCGACAGACAACCCATTTTGGCTTCTGGGGAGGTACGGCTGCACATCCACGGTGAATATGGGGTTGTCAAAGGGAAGCCAGCACATACCTGTATTTCTTTTCTGGGGGTGCTTCTTTGCAGATTGGTGAAGCATGTTTCTCAACACACCCAGGTATTTCGGTTCCTCCGCCACGTAGGAACCTGGAAGCTTGGCCTCCGCAGCTCGCAGCCAGGTTTCTGAAAGAGAAACCGGAGTACCGGGGAAAGATCGTGCTGGTGCAGTGACCTTGGGTTCTTGGGTGCTTTGGGGAGAGGATTGACCTGTGAGAGAACTTTTCAGTAATATTTCTGCCCAAAGCAGAGCTAGCCATCCTCTTTTTTCAAGAATCATGGACTTGCGCAGGGGGTTGGTCTAACAGGAAAGAGCTCTGCATTTGCCCTCCTGCTAGCTCCCATTTGGAGATGGCACCTTTGTGGCCGCTTCCTGCATTGATTTTCACAGCTTCCTCCATTTCCCTTTCAGTTTCACTGCAAACCACTAGCAAAAGGCAACTTTTGATTTCGGGTAATCCAGTGACTCCTGTTTCATGCTTGTAGAACAGAGCGCAAGCAAGCGCCCAGACCGGTTTTGGAGGTGCGCCCTTGCAGGATTCCGCTAAGCCTGTCAATTTCTCCAGGTGGGTCATTTGGCATTTGGTTTTTGAGGCTGCCATTTTTTGTTATAACAATAGTTTGGTTTACAGGGGTTTTTCAAAAGGACAACAACCACTTTGGTGGCCCTCCCGGAGTTTGAGCGAAGCCCTTTGCTTGCTGAGACCTGCTATATGATGGTGCCCAGTGGCTTAAAGTAACACATTTTTTTGTTGTGCTCCTCCTACTTTGACCCTCATACTTGAGCACATTGTGAATTTGCGATCACACAGATGCGCATGTGTCTACCGTGCTTTGTTTCACATACAGCTTGCCGAGTGCACTTAAACTCCCGGGAGTTGTCCCGCTGATCAAGCATGGACCCCCACCACGCCATCTGCACAGGAATCTTCTTTGGGGGACCTGCGTTGCAGAGGTTCGGCCAAAATCTTCCGTCGTGGTCAACTTGTCACTTGTCGTTGAACTCCAGGGGGTCTGTCTGTGGGGGCTGTCCTAGGCTAGGGCTTGCCGAGGATATACGCCTGATGGCCTCACAAAGGGTGAAATAGGTGACAGAAGCCCCGCCCTGGCCCCTCCAAGGAGGCCTATGAATCTGGGACGAGCTATAACCTTGCAACCCGGACAAGCTGTACATTCCCCGTGCACAGTACAGGAACCACTTATTTTCTTCACCAGAATTAGCTCCCCTTTTTGCCTTTTTGCTTTTTTGGGTTGCCTTTGTTTTTCACAAACCAGGTAAAAAGGACATTTTTGCTGGGGTCCGAATTCCAGCCTAGTTTTGGCCCTGGCTTCTTCGACATGCTGCAGACCCATGGTTTTGTTCTACCAGGTATTGTTTTGAGGCCCTTGGCGGGCGAGAAGGCGGGAGGTTGCTCCGACGAATGAGGGAGAGGGTGCAGCTCCGATTTCTGGTTCAACCCGCGAAAGTCCACAAGAGGCACAACCAAAACCGATTCGGGTAAGTGAAGGTTAGTAAGGGACGATCCCAGCCAATAAATAGCTGCGGATATCCACCTTCTTAGTTCTTGAAGCATGGTTCTGGGTCGACCATTTTTGTACCGGGCTTTGAGTGTGACTCACAAGAGGGCTGCGCAAGCTAGACAGCGGCGTGTTTTTGGAAGATGAGCAACGCAGAAGGGCAGGCTGCCCTGGGTCTCCTTGATTTTCCGTTCGCTGATCGAGTCTTTGGATCAACGCTACCCCAGACAGGTAAGCTGAATGTCTAGTACAGTAGGTAACCAAGGGAAACCATGATGTAAAGCCTCGAGGTAAGAAACCCTGGTTGCCAACTCTAGGGGTAACTGGAAGCAATGGGAATGACAAGAAACATGATCTATTGATCCGCTGGTCGGTGCCGCCGATACTCGCAGACACTTTCTTGAGAGAAAGGTTGACTCCCATTTGGCTGTGGGTCAAAACCAATGGTACCATTTTGGGGTAGGTGAACGCACCACCCATTTTAGTCGGAATTTTAGTGCTTGGATTGGGATGTTCACTGTGGGCTAACAGATTTGGGTTTTGACCCATGGCCATTTCAGCAAATCCAGAGAGGATGGACTTGACGGTTGCGTAATTCTTGCTCAGGGCGAAGCAGTTGCTTTTTTTGGTGAAGGGAGCCATTTTCTAGCGGATGTCTCCGTTTTGTTTTTTTTCTTTCTGAGGTTCCCGTTTTGAAGGCCTTGCCGAGCAATTTTTACTCCAAGGCAATACGTTTTTTGTTTGCTTTTTTTTTCTTTTTTTCTTTTTTCTCCCGAGGGGCTTGTCCCTTGTAGTTCGAGGGCTTGTCGCTTTTGGTTTCCCGTCCTTTTTTGGGTTTCACGGGAAACCAAAGGAAAAACCAAGCAAGCCAAAAAGCCCACCTTTTCGGGGTGCCGAATCCTATTTTGAGACGCAAACCCGTTGGCAGCCATCCGTACACCGCAATCCCCGCGATTTCCCGTCGTCTAGGGGGGGGGCGCAGTGCACTGTGCAACTTCCGTGCTTGTTGGGAGGGTAAGCCCCCTTTGACGTGGTTTCTGAGCCAACCCCCAATCTTTGAGCGGCCCAGATTGACAGGTTTTGGTGGGGGTGACCTCGCCGGCTGGTTTGGCCTGTCCCAGTGACTTTTCAATTATTCACCCTCACTGCCCAAATTTGCAAAATAGGACGTGGAACCCAACATGGCGGGTTTTCCTCTGAAATCAAACGTACTGAGCCTCAACAAGAGACACACCACGCACACCTGGGATTGGTGGCGACAGGCATGCCCCTTCCACGTTTTCCTCAAGGGCCATGGCATGACATGGGTTCCATGGTGAGGTTCCCAAGAGGCGAGTGTGCTGAAGCAGAGATAGATGCAAGTCGGAGGGGGCTGAGGTTCGCAGAACGAAAACGGGTGTTGAAGCCGTTTCGAGAACGCCCAGCAAGAGTCCAGCGAATGATTCGATGGACCAAGTTGATACCGGGCTGTAGAGATGGCTTTCTGGCAGAGTTGGTTCACTACACGCAACCCCCCCGGAAATTCAGCCGTGCTTTGGCTTCCCTTTCCGATTTCCTTCCGCGCCCTGGTCACAAAACGGGTAGCTCCTCAAAAAGCCGTGCCCAGATTAGGAGAGGCGTGCCAGATCCTCGCAGCTATGGTTTGCCTTCCAATTTTTCGAGATTCGATCGAGATGCCGATGGCCAGACCGAAGTTACATGGCACGTCTGCGACAGGAGGCACGGCGATGTGGGGTGAGGTTGATCAAACGGTGCTTTACTTTACATTGGAGAACTGTTTGGAAGAGCCACCAGAAAGATACAATTGTTCCATCTTTCCCACCAACTGGGCTGCCCTCGGCAGTTGATCACATTCGAAAGTCCATCAGGGACTACAATGGGATTCCGTTCCACAGGCGCAATGGCTAGTTTCACTTGCGCCGCTCTTTTTTGTCTTGCGTCTCTGGTTGCTTTACTAGCTGTCAGAGCTTTGATTGACATCTGAGTGGCTGTCAGCTTGCAGCCCTTCAGAACGCCTTTCCACTTTCTGCCACTCGCCATGGATCTGCCGCTATTTGAGCGAACTCACAGATTCGGGGGGAAGTGAGCGAAAACCATGCTGTGGCTCCTGTACTCGGAGATCCCGTGTTTCAGGTTTTGGAATCGTGACATTTGCAGGATTGATGTTCTTTCGAGGCATTGTTTTCACTGGCGTGGAGAAGAGCTACTGAGAACCAAGCCCAGAAACTACCTCGCCTTGTGTAATGTTGACCCAGGATTAGTCAACCCGTCCCCTTTTTTGGGGGGCTGTTCCCTCCCAAAGTGGTCTGAATCCCCACTAAAAGGAATGGGACACCGCCCCATAGCAATCAGTCCCCACTAAAAGGGGACACCCCCCAAAACAACCAACCAGGGGTTCTACTTAGAGCCGGGGTTCACCTTACCTCACCTCAGTGGCCCGGCTGATCTTCCCGGTCGCCTCTTTCAAGGGATCGACTTTCTGACAGGCCGGACTTAACCCCAGGGCTGGATTCCCCAAAGGAGAACTGGGCTTCAGTTCATCTCAGGGTCAAACATTGCGCCCTGCCCAAAGGTGCCTTAGAGTAACTCAACTTGTGGAACCGAACCGCGGTTGCCGGTGTCTTTTGAGAGGCGACCCTCTGTTACCATGGCTCCTTGAAAGCACCTTGGGGTCCTCTTCTCGGAGGTGTCCCAAGGTGAACCAGACGGCAAACAAAAATCAGTGCTTGCTGACACACCTGGCTGCCGCAGATGAATGGACATCGGAGCTGTGCTTGTTGAAAACAAACCGGCTCGGACAGACTCACCACTTTGAACATTTAGACCAAGCGCAGGTATATGAGTATGCATGTTGTTTTTCTTCTTTTGTCCGTGTACATCAATCGGATTCAGGGAGCTTTTGTATGTTTCGGCCCCCCCACCCAGTGTCTTGCGCCGACCGGCATCCATCACGACCCACGGATCTCACGCGATCGCCAAGGCACCCTGTTAGCACATCTCTGACGGGACACCCTCGGTCAACCATCTGGTCGCCGTTTTTGGACTTACCCTCTTTCTACCTGGACATTGGTTTGTTTTGGCTCCATCGAGAACGCGAACTTGGCTCGGGAGACCCCCTCTTCACCTTTGCTTGGTTTTATGAAGAACCGGAGGGGGCCTCATTTTTTGTCACACAACCAGATGCTGAACCCCCCCCCCTTTGGGTTGTCAATGCCATGGACGCTCCTTTCCTAGGCAAAGGAAAACCACCATGTTGGGGGGTCCCATAATTTGAAGACACACTCAACTGGGAACCAAAAGGACACCAACCATTCGAGGAAATGGTTCATAATGTTGAGAGACGCCCAGTGGATTTTCCAGGATTGTGGACTGGTACATTAAACAAACAAATCTGATTTACAGAGGGACCCTTCTTTCTTTAGCTGGCAAAGGCGCGTTTGTTTGTTTTTTCTCTTTTTTGTTGATGGCCCCAAATTTGCATCCTATCAACCGCCAGTTTTTCGAGCCCACGCCCGAGCCTCCTTTTGCGCCTCCTTTTGAGCCGAGAGGCGGATGCTCTTTTGACCTCCTCCAGCGGAAAGTTGGAAGTGACGCCCACCAACGGAGGCCGACTCGTCGCGTGGGTTCACTCGCCGACGCGCAAGCCATCGAAACAGGGCCGCCTTCCCCCCCCCCCCCCCAGTGTAGGGTACTTTTCCTTTGTTTTCTTGGGGTTTGGAAAGCAACCAGAACAACCTTTTGCAAGGAAATGCCGATGGCTTTGCGGGTGTCAATGCAAGGGGGGATTGGGTGTGTATGTTCTTTTTGGGATTTGACCCCCCCCCCCCGTGGCAGGGAAGAATGAGTCCTATGCGTCGCCGCGCGTTTTTTTGCATTTGAGCACCACTTCATGTTACATGCTCATGCACTCACACGCACACCAAAACTCTATTCCCACATGGTGCTACAGAGATAATATGCGCTTACCATGCACAAGGATACTGCTGAATAAATAGACACTTGGTTCAAACATGTGTGTTATTTTCTCGTGTGCATGTTTCAATTTCAATTTCATGACCAGCAAAAGAAATGCAAGCACGCAGCTAAGTAATATTGTCCGTGGCCTAACACAGGGCACAGGCGTGCAGCTAGGTTCGATGTCAGGAGACTGACAAAGGCCACAGGTGCACAACTAAGTCCTGTTTGCTAAGTATTCTACTTATCATCAGTCTTCGAATTCATTCTTATCATTCTTCCCAAAGGGACGGGTGACTTTTGGGGAATTCAAATATTGTTTGTTTTAATCATTTTATTTCTTAGACTTGCTCTAAGTATTCGAACCACTGCCAAAGGGACGGGTGCCTTTTTTGGAATTCAAGAGTCCTCTGCGCTAACTGTTCTACTTATCATCAGTCTTCCAATTGTAATTGTTATTCCCAAAGGGACGGTGCCTTTGGGGAATTGAAGATTGTTTTTGCAAATTATACTACTTAGCAAACCTCTTGTAATTGTTTTTGTCATGAGTTCCAAAGGGATGACTTTGGGGAATTCAATATTCATGTTTGCTGGTTGCTTTTGTAAACTATTCTACTTATCATAACTCTTCTAATTCATTCTTACCATTCTGCCCAAAGGGACGGGTGACTTTTGGGGAATTCAAATATTGTTTGTTCTAATCAGTTCATTTCTTAGACTTGCTCTAAGTATTCGAACCACTGCGAAAGGGACGGGTGCCTTTTTGGGAATTCAAGAGTCCTCTGTGCTAATTGTTTTATTTATCATCAGTCTTCTAATTATAATTGTTTTTCCCAAAGGGACGGGCGCCTTTGTGGAATTGCAGATTGGTTTTGCAAATTATACTACTTAGCATACCTCTTCCAACTAGTTTTCTCATGAGTTCCAAAGTGATGACTTTGGGGAATTCAATATTCATGTTTGCTGGTCGTTATTGAAAATTATTCTACTTATCATAACTCTTCTAATTCATTCTTACCATTCTTCCCAAAGGGACGGGTGACTTTTGGGGAATTCAAATATTGTTTGTTTTAATCATTTTATTTCTTAGACTTGCTCTAAGTATTCGAACCACTGCCAAAGGGACGGGTGCCTTTTTTGGAATTCAAGAGTCCTCTGAGCTAACTGTTCTACTTATCATCAGTCTTCCAATTGTAATTGTTATTCCCAAAGGGACGGTGCGTTTGGGGAATTGAAGATTGTTTTTGCAAATTATACTACTTAGCATGCATCTTCTATCTTTTCTTCATGAGTTCCAAAGTGGGACGGGTGACTTGGGAAATTCAGTATTCATGTTTGCTGGTTGTTTTTGTAGATTATTCTACTTATCACTCCTCTTCTAATTCATTCTTATCACTCTTCCCCAGGGGGGGATTCAATATTCTCTTTTGTTCTAATCATTTTTTCTTAGACTTGCTCTAAGTCTTCGAACCACTGGCAAAGGGACGGGTGCCTGCTTTGTTATTCCCAAAGGGACGGGTTCCTTTGGGGAATTGAAGATTGGTTTTGCAAATTATACTACTTAGCATACCTCTTCCAACTAGTTTTCTCATGAGTTCCAAAGGGGTGACTTTGGGGAATTCAATATTCATGTTTGCTGGTTGTTTTTGTAAAGTATTCTACTTATCAGAACTCTTCTAATTCATTCTTATCATTCTTCCCAAAGGGACGGGTGACTTTTGGGGAATTCCAGTTATTGTTTGTTCTAATCATGTATTTCTTAGACTTGCTCTAAGTCTTCGAACCACTCCCAAAGGGACGGGTGCCTTTTTGGGAATTCAAGAGCCCTCTGTGCTAACTGTTCTACTTAACATCAGGCTTCCAATTATAATTGTTATTCCCAAAGGGACGGGCGCCTTTGGGGAATTGAAGATTGTGTTTGCAAATTATACTACTTAGCATACCTCTTCCAACTAGTTTTCTCATGAGTTCCAAAGGGATGACTTTGGGGAATTCAATATTCATGTTTGCTGGTTGTTTTTGTATTCTACATATCATTACTCTTCTAATTCATTCTTATCATTCTGCCCAAAGGGACGGGTGACTTTTGGGGAAATCCAAATATTGTTTGTTCTATTGATTGTATTTCGTAGACTTGCCCTAAGTATTCGAACCACTCCCAAAGGGACGGGTGCCTTTTTGGGAATTCAAGAGTCCTCTGTGCTAATTGCTGTACTTCTCATCAGTGTTCTAATTATAGTTGTGACCTCTTCCAACTAGTTTTTCTCATGAGTTCCAAAGGGATGACTTTGGGGAATTCAATATTCATGTTTGCTGGTTGTTTTTGTAAATTATTCTACTTATCATAACTCTTCTAATTCATTCTCATCATTCTTCCCACAGGGACGGGTGACTTTTGGGGAATTCCAGTTATTGTTTGTTCTAATCATGTATTTCTTAGACTTGCTCTAAGTCTTCGAACCACTCCCAAAGGGACGGGCGCCTTTTTGGGAATTCAAGAGTCCTCTGTGCTAATTGTTCTACTTGTCATCAGTCTCTAAGTGCACTTGTTTTCCCAAAGGGACGGGTGCCTCTCGGGATGGAATATTCATGTTTGCTAACTACTCTGCTTATCATAACTCTTCTAGTTCTTCTCCCAAGGGACGGGTCACTCTTGGGGAAGTCCAAATTAATTGTTGTTCTAAACATTGTGTGTCTTATACTTGTTCTCAGTGTTCGAACCACTGCCAAAGGGGCGGGTGCCTTTTTGGGAATTCAAGAGTCCTGTTTGCTAATTATCATCAGTCTTCTAATCATAATTGTTATTCCCAGAGGGACGGGTGCCTTTGGGGAATTGAAGATTGTTTTTGCAAATTATACTACTTAGCACACCTCTTCTAAGTATTCTCTCATGAGTTCCAAAGGGATGACTTGGGGGAATTCAATAATATTCATGTTTGCTGGTTGTTTTGTAAATTATTATACTTATCATAACTCTTCTAATTCGTTCTTATCATTCTTCCCAAAGGGACGGGTGTCTTTTGGGAAGTCAATTTTCTAATCATTTTATTTCTTAGACTTGCTCTAAGTATTCCAACCACTGCCAAAGAGGCGGGTGGCTTGTTGGGAATTCAAGAGTCCTCTGTGCTAATTGTTCTACTTATCATCAGTCTTCTAAATATAATTGTTTTTCCTGAAGGGGCGGGTGCCTTTGTGGAATTGAAGATGGCTGTTGTGCAAATTATACTACTTAGCATACCTCTTCTAATTAGGTTTCTCTTTATTTTGAAATGGACGGGTGACTGTTACATTGGTGGAATTCCAAATTTATGTTTGCGCTAATCATTGTGCGTCTTATAATTGCTCTAAGTATTCGATCCACCCCCAAAGGGACGGGTGCCGTTTGGGGAATTCAAAAGTCCTGTGTGCTAAGTATTCTACTTGTAAACCGTCCTCTAAATACAAATGCTAGTCTCAAAGGGACGGGTGCGTTTGGGGAATTAAAGATTGATTTTGCAAATAATAATACTTCTCATAACTCTTCCAATTAATTCTTCTCATTACTCCCAACGGGTGCCTCTTGGGGACTTCCAGATTCATGCTTGTTCTCATCATTCTACGTCTTTTCATTGCTCTAAGTATTCGAACCACTCCCAAAGGGACAGGCGTCTTTTGGGGAATTGAAGAGACCTGTTTGCTAAACAGTCTACGTATCATCAGTCTTCTAAATATAATTGTTATTCCCAAAGGGACGGGTGCCTTTGGGGAATTGAAGATTGTGTTGCGCAAATTATTCTACTTATTCCGAACTCGTCTAGTTAATTATTCTCATTATTCCCAAAGGGGCGGGTGCTTTTGGGGACTTGCAGATTCATGTTTGTTCTAATCATTCTAAGTCTTTTAATTGCTCTAAGTATGCGGACCACTCCCAAAGGGACGGGCGCTTTTTTTGGAATTCCAGGCCAGTCTTTCACCAAGGGACGGGAGCAGTTGGCGAATTCCAGAATCATGTGTTTTCTAATCATCCTTCGTCTTCTTCCCAAAGGGACGGTTGCCTTTTGTGGAGTTTCAGATTCAAATTTGCTCTAGTTATTCTACTTTTTACAACAATAATCATTCTCTAACTTGTTCCAAAGAGGGGTACCTTCTTGGGAAATCCAGCATACATATTTGATAAAGTTATTCGAATCATTCAAACAACTGGACAATTCTGATGGTTCTGGATACTTTCAATTGGCCGGGTGCCATTTGGGGAAGTCCAGATTCATGTTGCGCTAATCATTCTACTTCCCTAGTTATTCAAATTTATTGATTTCTTCTTAAAGAAAGGGTGCCTTTTGGGGAAACCAGATTCATGCTTCTTGTAACTTGTTTTTGTGGATTTCCAGGCTCTTCTGTGTTCCCAACGGCACGGGTCCCTTCTGGGGAATTTCAGATTAATGGTTGCTCCCATGATCCCAATTATGTTCTTCCTTCTATGTATTCCCAAAGGGACGGGTGACGCGCGCCTTTTGAGGAATTCCAATTCCAGAGTCATGTGTGTGTGTTCCAATTATTCCTATCTACTCAAATTATTCTAACTATTCTTAAAGGATCGTGTACTTCTTGAGGAATTCAAGATCTTATACTTATTATACGTGTTTTGCTTTTGCTTTTTCAAAGTACTCAAATTCTTCCAAGGTGAATTCCAATAACTCCAAAAATTGCAATAGTTGGGGGTCCCGGATTTTGCAATTAATTATTGCAATTATTGAAAGTCAGTTGCAATTGTTGCAAATATTGGAATTAGTTGGCCTGGATTGGGGCCAAATGTGGGATCAATTCATATCTACAATGGAAGTATTGGAATTCAACTCCAATGATTGCAATAATTGTAATATTTGAAGGTCCCGGATTTTGGAATTATTGCAAATAGTGGAATTGAATTCCAATAATTGCAATAATTGAAATATTCGGAGGTCCCGGATTTTGCAATTATTGCAATTATTGGAATTGAATTCCAATAATTGCAATAATTGCAATAATTTCAGGTCCCAGATTTTGCAATTATTGCAATTATTGGAATTCAATTCCAATAATTGCAATATTTGCAATATTTGGAGGTCCCGGATTTTGCAATTATTGGAATTAGTCGGCCCGGCTTTGAGGCCAAATCTGGGATCAATTAATTATTGCAATTATTGCAATTATTGCAATTATTGCAATTATTGGAATTGAATTCCAATAATTGCAATATTTGGAGGTCCCGGATTTTGCAATTATTGGAATTGAATTCCAATAATTGCAATAATTGCAATATTTTCAGGTCCCGGATTTTGCAATTATTGCAATTGTTGGAATTGAATTCCAATAATTGCAATAATTGCAATATTTGGAGGTCCGGGTTTTGCAATTATTGCAATTATTGGAATTGAATTGCAATAATTGCAATAATTGCAATATTCGGAGGTCCCGGATTTTGCAATTATTGCAAATATTGGAATTCAATTCCAATAATTACAATCAATAATTTCAGGTCCCAGATTTTGCAATTATTGCATTTATTGGAATTCAATTCCAATAATTGCAATAATTGCAATAATTTCAGGTCCCGGATTTTGCAATTATTGCAATATTGGAATTGAATTCCAATAATTGCAATAATTGCAATATTTTCAGGTCCCGGATTTGCAACTATTGGAATTAGTCGGACCGGCTTTGAGGCCAAATCTGGGATCAATTAATTATTGCAATTATTGCAATTATTGCAATTATTGCAATTATTGGAATTCAATTCCAATAATTGCAATAATTGCAATAATTTCAGGTCCCGGATTTTGCAATTATTGCAATTATTGGAATTCAATTCCAATAATTGCAATAATTGCAATAATTGGAGGTCCCGGATTTTGCAATTATTGCAATTATTGGAATTCAATTCCAATAATTGCAATAATTGCAATAACTTCAGGTCCCGGATTTTGCAATTATTGCAATTATTGGAATTAGTCGGCCCGGCTTTGAGGCCAAATCTGGGATCAATTAAGTATTGCAATTATTGCAATTATTGCAATTATTGCAATTATTGCAATTATTGGAATTGAATTCCAATAATTGCAATAATTGCAATATTCGGAGGTCCCGGATTTTGCAATTATTGCAATTATTGGAATTAGTTGGCCCGGCTTTGAGGCCAAATCTGGGATCAATTAATTATTGCAATTATTGCAATTATTGCAATTATTGCAATTATTGCAAATATTGGAATTCAATTCCAATAATTGCAATAATTGCAAAATCCGGGACCTCCGAATATTGCAATTATTGCAATTATTGGAATTCAATTCCAATAATTGCAATAATTGCAAAATCCGGGACCTGAAATTATTGCAATTATTGCAATTATTGGAATTCAATTCCAATAATTGCAATAATTGCAAAATCCGGGACCTCCAATTATTGCAATTATTGCAATTATTGGAATTGAATTCCAATAATTGCAATAATTGCAAAATCCGGGACCTGAAATTATTGCAATTATTGCAATTATTGGAATTGAATTCCAATAATTGCAATAATTGCAATAATTGCAATAATTGCAATAATTAATTGATCCCAGATTTGGCCTCAAAGCCGAACCAAATAATTCCAATAATTGCAATAATTGCAAAATCCGGGACCTCCGAATATTGCAATTATTGCAATTATTGGAATTCAATTCCAATAATTGCAATAATTGCAAAATCCGGGACCTGAAATGATTGCAATTATTGCAATTATTGGAATTGAATTCCAATAATTGCAATAATTGCAAAATCCGGGACCTGAAATTATTGCAATTATTGCAATTATTGGAATTCAATTCCAATAATTGCAATATTTGCAAAATCCGGGACCTCCGAATATTGCAATTATTGCAATTATTGGAATTCAATTCCAATAATTGCAATAATTGCAATAATTGCAATAATTGCAATAATTAATTGATCCCAGATTTGGCCTCAAAGCCGGGCCGAATAATTCCAATAATTGCAATAATTGCAAAATCCGAGACCTCCAATTATTGCAATTATTGCAATTATTGGAATTCAATTCCAATAATTGCAATAATTGCAAAATCCGGGACCTCCGAATATTGCAATTATTGTAATTATTGGAATTCAATTCCAATAATTGCAATAATTGCAAAATCCGGGACCTGAAATTATTGCAATTATTGCAATTATTGGAATTCAATTCCAATAATTGCAATAATTGCAATAATTGCAATAATTGCAATAATTAATTGATCCCAGATTTGGCCTCAAAGCCGGTCCGACTAATTCCAATAATTGCAAAATCCGGGACCTGAAATTATTGCAATTATTGCAATGATTGGAATTCAATTCCAATAATTGCAATAATTGCAAAATCCGGGACCTGAAATTATTGCAATTATTGGAATTGTTGGAATTCAATTCCAATAATTGCAATAATTGCAAAATCCAGGACCTGAAATTATTGCAATGATTGTAATTATTGGAATTCAATTCCAATAATTGCAATAATTGCAAAATCATTATAATTTCACTTCAACAATTCACTCAAAGCTGGAGCCAGCCTGAACGACACATAGGGTATGATCTTCCCTCTTACCCCCCCCCCCCCCCCCCACAGAAAACAAAAGACAAACAAAAGCAACGGGTCTCGGTCTTCCTGCTTCCTGCTGCTTTCCCTTTAAAACCCGCCAACAAGGGGGGGGGGGGGGGCTATTTTCACGCATGCCCAATTCGGCACGCACAACGAGTGCCACGTTCTTTGGTGTCAGTTTTCGGGTGATGTTCACTTGGGCTAAAGTCGGACCATGAAGTGAACATGGTTTAACAGCATTGGTATTGTCCACCCTGGATAAATCCTGGCGGATGAACAGTGAGGGCGTTCGTTCCCCGTAGATGTGATCAGGAGCCCTTCTGAAACGCGACATCCCCTTGAAAGTGGCCAGGGGTGTATGATCGCAAGCTTGATCGGGGGTGGGTGGGGGGGCGGGGCGGGGGAACTCTCTGCAAGCCAACGTGATCCTGGTAACCATATCATCCCAACCAATCATCATCTGTGAGAAACAATCGTCCACCCCGACTACCCCCTGTTGCCCACAAAAGACGACTAAGAAGATTTGTACAGACTAGGTCCCCAAGTGCCCTTTTTCCTGTTTTTGGGGGAGGGTTCCCCTACTAAAAGAGACTACCCAAAAAAGTTGGTACCCTTATTCTAACCTCTCTACTGGACCTAGAAGACCCAGACCAGGTTCTTTTTAGGTTAGTGTGGTGAAACATAGAAGGATTCCACTGGTTTAGATGGGTTTTAGTCCATTTCCCACCTTCCATTTTTTCCAAAAGCACACCTATGATACAGACCGAAAATTTGGAGAAAGCGGGGGGTATGATTCTCGCCCCTCGAACCCCGTGTCAGGCTCCAGCGCCGAGTGCGACATTTTCATGCGCTGGGAGAAGGCGGGGTCTCGGGGAGTGGAGGGCTCTCAGATCACTTAAGCTTCTGTGGAGACCGCTTGGGTGGTCAACGACCTGTTTTTTTTTTTGTTTGGTTTGGTTTGTTTTGCTTGTGTCTTTCTTTGTTTGTTTGTGTGTTTGTGTCTTTCTTTGTTTGTTTGTTTGTTTGTTTGTTTGTTCGTTCGTTTGTTTGTTTGTTTGTTTGTTTGTTCGTTTGTTCGTTTGTTTGCTTGCTTGTTTCGGAGGATTGAGGATTTCCATTTCTGGCTGACCTTTCCCACTTGGCTGCCCTTGCTGAAGACCCTTTGTTTCCACCTTTCTTTGAAGGGGACACCCCCTTGTTGATATCTCGGGGGCTGGGGGTATTGATCGGGGTCAACATGAAATCTACCCAACGTGTTGTTTGCCCTTCTTGCTGCACCATGGCAAGAGGAGACATTGAAATTCATCCTATATAACGGCGGCATTCTTCACCCGAAGGGGGTCCCTAGTGGGGACGAAGGGCAATGGCACAGCAAGAAACATTCCCTTATTTTGCTTATATGCTTTCAAGCAACCGGGCAGTGGATGGACCCCCATTGTGGAACTTAGTCCTCGACTTCCTCGTGAGAGCTTGGCGTTCCCCGACAATCTACTCCCCCACAGATGAACAGGAGCCCAAAACGCCAAGCCATTTTTTTTTTGAATTGACAATCCTTTCGAGGATGCTTCGGTGAATCTCGCACACAAACGAAGAAGGACGAAAAGGATTTGGGTGTCGTGTTTTGGGGAACTGGTTTTAGAAAGGAAACCAAGATGAAAGTCACCATGTTGGGCCTAAAAAAGGCGAGCAACTCATGTGCTGTGAAGTTTCAAGGCAACCAGCGCCAGTTTTCAGCCGCAAAGAAGGCCGCGAGGAAGCCTAAGGATCCTAAGGAAGGGCTGACAAGCTGTCACAAGAACCAAAACGAACACCGCTTGAAACACAGCGTTGTTCGTTGAGTTTCCTTTGGCTGATGGTTCCAGGGAAAAAATGGGAGACCCCCCGCCCAAAAGTTCAATGTTCATTTTGGTTCTTCCAGTTGACGTGTGTGTTTTTCCGGTCAAAGAACCAACTTTCACATGTGTTGCTTCTCATGAGCCACCTTTCTTCGTGTCTTTTGGCTCCTCAGAGCCATCTTAAGGGTGCTTCGGGGACTCGGGCCATCCGCTCGCGCCGCTCCAGTCCGACCGCGCGGACCGCCTGGGACTGTTTCGAGCCGCAGACATCTTCTGCGACACCAGCGGCAAGGCTACGGAGGGAGCAGCGTTCGCGGGTTGGGAGGGGCGGGAGGGTGAAGGCGCCATGGCCGCGTCTTGTTTTTTGTTTTTTTAGGATTCGGACCGGGTCCCCCAAAGGGTGGCGAAACATCCAACTGGAAACCGTGTAAATGGAGTTGGGGGTTTATCAGAAGAAGGTTTTCTACATCCAAGGTGTAAGGGCCGCGCCAGCCGCGCTTTTGGATGGGCTGGGAGCTGCCTTGTGGAGCATTCGCTGCATGGCTATGGGTGGTGCCACATCTTCAGAACGTGAGCTGTGAAGGGCCAGATTCTAGCAAGACACTGGGGAGCAGTGTGACCCATGTTTTTCCTCGAAAAGTGTGTCTAATTCGCCTAGCTTGAACTCGGCAAAGAATGCTTTGTGCCAGCTTTCCTCTTCACTTTGCATGGCAGTCGCGTCTTGACACCATGATTTGGTGACGGGCTTTGCCTACTGAAGCAACGGTTCCAGCACACCGAGGCCGTTTTGGTTGTCGAGGCACCCGCTCGAGGACCCCTCTCTTAAGACATATCCAGGTGCGAGCTCGTCCCCCGAGGTCGCGAGTTTTGATCCATCCGCTTGCTGGGGCTATTCGAGCGACAACCTGAACGCAACCCTTCAAATAGGGCGTTTTAATGACATGAACGGCCAAAAGTAAAAAGTAATCTTGGGAGCCTCAACCAAGCTGGGACGGGGCTGTGGGCTTTTTGGCGATCAACCACCCTGGACCATGTCTTTGCCCAATCGGATGTGAGAAGCCGGAGCGAGAACCGCTTCGCCGCTTGGCTTATGGACCGAGAACCAGCGGTGTTCCCATTTCAAGCGAGAACCGCCTGAAAGACTGGGCCCTTGTGGGTGATGGGAGCAGAAAGGTGTCTTCCATAGACGGAAAGCTCTTCTTGCTAAAATGGAAAAGGCTTCTTGAGGAAAGGGGGCAATCAGAAAAGGTTTTGGCGACGCCGCTTTTCCTCAAGTGCACGGAGGGCTTCCGATCTGATCCCATCTGCGCAGGGTGTTCGTTTGGATTCTGGGGAGCGGGCTGAAGGTGGGCAAGTGGGTGACGGAGGTCCCTATGACACTTCACCTTCACCGTCCTCGGCATGCCTGTTTTTTGTTGTCGCTCCTCGGTTCTGGTCATGAGTGGCGGACTGGAACGAACTGTTTGTTGCCAAACATACCAATCCAAGATGGTTTGCACTAACCGCACACCACTACCCCGGGGCTTTCATAGGATATGCAGCCACTATATAGCCACTATATGAAGTGTATATACCCCAAGTAACCCTGGGGTAGTGGTTTGGGGGTAGTGGAACACCAGCGAAGGGTTGGAGGCGTCTGCCGATTCCTGTGGATGTTTGCTTGGAAAGGTTGGTGCGTCTTGTTTTAGGATTCAGGGCCCCAAAAACGGCTTCGGTCTTGCTTTTGGTTTCTCTTTAAAACCACCAAAAAGGGGGTACCATCAAAAACCAGACTTGAATGAACCAAGTTTGAGTTGGTGTTTCAACCCACCACCAACTCGTAGCTACACATTCATATCACCCCAAATTCATCACTGCCGGATTTTGCAAACATGCACTGCCGAGACATACATGTTGAAATCAGTGTACCATACTGCGGCTTTGCCCTCAACCCCAAAAGCATATGTTATTTGATTTGGGCATCCAATTCTTACTTCAGGTCTTGGACATCTTGTGAACTGGGTAGATTGCATGATCAATATGTCCGGTTCCCCTGAACCGGTAGTTTGGATTTGTGGTTTGGATTTGGATTTGAACCCCTGGTTCTGGGTGAACGGGAAACAATCCATCTCGGCTCCAAACCACCCGATTTGAGGGGACACTGAGGTTTGAGGCTCCTTTTGTTGGTTTGGTAATTTGTGGCTTTCTGGACCCCACAAAGCGAGCTTGGCAGAGAGATCGGTTTTCTGGTGCACCCGAGCGAGCCGCGGGAACTCCGAGCGAACTCCTCGCGAGCGCTCGAAGCCCCGCGGGGATCGCCAGAACGGGTTGAACCTGATGCCCTTCGAGTTCGTTACGGCGCAGTACGGCACGGACCATCCCAAGGCGCTTTTGTCGGAGAGGGATGTCGGAGTTGGGATTGGCAAGAGAAAGACTAGATGGGTTCTTTTTTTCTCAAAGAGGGCAACGCCAACGAGATTTTGCGGTTTCCTGGTGGTTTCCCTTCAAATCCAACCAAAAGGGGGTTCCCTGGATGTGGATGTGTCTGTTTACCCTCAACACACCGTTTTGGGGCAATGTTTCCTTTTCTCTCTTTTCTTGTGTGAAAGGGGGAGCTATGATTGGGGCAACTTTTTTTCAAGAAAGCCTCTGACGGTCCTTGCCTCCAAAGGAAGCTGAATGGAAGGAAGGGAGACCGACCTCAGTCTCTTTCAAGATCAAGGCCAGAGGGAGATGAGGGACTCACCAAGTGGGGTTGTCTCTTTTTTTGGGGACACCCTTTTGGGTTGGTTTTGAAGGTAAACCAAAAGCAAACCAAGCACTATCCCAATTTGGAGAGAAACGGAGCGACAAGTTTCCCCGAACAAAAGGCGGAACGCCCCTCAGTTCGTTGGTTCACTCGCAGCAAATGGACCTAACCAGGACTTCCCCCCACATGGTACCCCAAGAAGGGCATGCTCAAGTATGTTGTGGCCCACCGTGACGATGGGCTTCACAGATTTCAGTTGGGTTTCCGAAAGTTTCAGGCCGTCCATGTCGCTTTCAAGTTGCACCTTTGGCAACCATAGCTTACGAACTGCTGTTTTTGCTTTCTGGTCTAAATCAGGGTTTCTCTTGGTTGCCTAAAGGGAGTGGTGGTCTTCTTTTTTGTTTCCCCTTGCAAAAGGTGGTGTTCCTTGGCATTTTTGGTGTTTTTTTTCTTCTTTTTCATTTTTTTTGGACATGGTAAATTGTGGTGTTCCCTTGCAAATGTGGTTTCCCCCTGGCCAATGGTGGTTTTGCTTGGCCACCTACTACGGCAGCTTGCCTAGAAGGACGCACAAGTGCCCTGCACCCGGATCTAAGCACAACTGGCTGATGTTGATCAAGGACTGTCCCCTTTTGGTGAAGGTTCAGACCAGGATTAATTGTGGGGTCAACATTAAGGGGGACATTTGAGGAAGCCAGAGTCGGACTTGTGTTGGTAGTTTTCTTGTGGTTTGCAGCCGCACTTTTAGGGGTGCAGGGGTATTTTTGGCGAACGTGAACCCGGGATTAGTCACCCGTTGATAAATCTCATTCTCAGTCATTTGCAGAGAGCATCCTTCACCTGAGAAAGACCCCCCAAGAAACTCCGGGAGGTCTGTCAATTCCGGGGAGTCGCAGCAAGCCCATTTGGGTGTTTCTCAAGTAGAGCAGGAAAAAGACTTGTCGCCTTTTGGCTTGGCTTTTGAACTCTCCAAAAAGGAAAGCCCTAGTTTGAGAAGCATCCATTTGGTGGTGCCACGGCAAATGGGCCAGGTGTGCCTCATCAGCGAATTTTCGGGTTGTAGCCGCGTGTGGCTTGGATGCATATGGGTGGGGGCAGGGGGCTGGATCTCGACACAATTTGCCTCAGTCTCGACGCTCAGTCTCGACGCTCCGAACGCATCCTTAAAAGTCTGCGTCAGCCACAACTGAAGAGCAAGATTGTCTTTCAGGGAAAGTAACAAGGACACCATTGCCTTTTGCTCTTTTTTTTTTGGGGGGGGGTTCCCAAGGCTTTGGACATCCTCCCTTGATTTGGGAGACACCCCTAGGCACGTAGGGGACGCTGGGTGAATCTTCCCGTGCCGATGCTTCCTCCATCAACAGCGTGGGTGCTTACGTGCCGTTGTCTTGCTGCCGCTCTCTTTTTTGTTAAACCAACCCACCCAACCCAAGCCACCCCGACCCAACCCAACCCAACCCGACCGACCAACAAACAAACAAGCTTCGGCGGCGCGGGAGCCTCCAGAAAGGAACAGAGCCACACGCACACTCACATGGGTGTGGCTTTTTTGGAGGGTGCCCCTTTCTTTTGGTGTTAAGGGGAGACCAAGCCACCCACATAGACAACTTTGCACCTTTAAAGCAACCCAAAAAGGGGTGGCCGCCAAACAAGACACCCTGTTCAGGGAGAAATCCTTGGCCTGCTTTTGGGGCCAGTCCACTCAGGACTTGTTTCGAGGCGAGGCCTATTTTGTCCTTGCGATGGAATTGGCCAGGTTGGGATTGGCTTACCTTGCCCCCTTGGAGAAACCCAATCCCGAAAGGGCCATTCTAGGCCATTCTCGCTGGTCTTATGGTGGGCATAGCCTTGGCCTATATAAACCTTGGCCATCTTGGCAAAACAAACTGTCAGGTTTTGGGCACTCCAGCGGCTCTCTCCCCGATTTGGATCGGTTTCTGAGGCTCATGGGTGCGCTGCGGATCAACCCCTGGAACAACTCCGCCCTCTGCGCCGGGTTCGAGCGAGCGCTCACCATGGCGGGGTCCATGGGGTTTCAATTTCTCCGTGCACGTGGATGGGTGGGTTTGGCGGGCGGTGGGAGAAGTGGGGTTTGCGGAGAAGGGCTGGCATAGATGATCCAGGAGTTGTGGGTCAGTGGTTAAAACTCCCAGTGAAACCAGCAAAAACGACCGGGATTTGGTTCATAGATCCAGAATCGCTGTCTTGGCTACAATACATGTGCGACGAACGACCAAGACCTTTTGCAAGTCCCCTGCTGCTTCCTTGAGCTTGGTAACCATCTGGCGCCGGTCCTTTGCCGCAAACTCGTGAGGGTACAGCGGTAAAGCAAGCTTGGCCCCGAAGTTCCTTCGGGGATGCTCTTATTTAATGAAAGGCAAACCAGTCATTTTGGGGGTTTGATTGAGGGTCTGAATTATTTGATTGCTAAGGACCAATCAGAGAGATTGATCTCTTATTTGATAGCCACGAGGGTCTTACCAGACCAATCTCTTATATATTTGGGGGTCTCTGTTTTCGCCCATGCGGTAGCCTACCGGGTGGACGGCTCAGCATGTTCAGAAATGGCTCCAGATATCGGGGACCACGGGTGGTCCTACAAAAATAAGGGTCGAACAGAATTTGGCACGCCTTAGAAGCATATGATGTTGCCCCAGGATTAATAAACCCCTCCCATTATTAGGGGGGTGTTCCCTCCAAAAGTGACGACGAATCCCCACTAAAAGGGGACACCCCCCTATTAATCAACCTGGGGTTTATTAGTCCGGGGTGAACATTGCACCACTCCGTAAAGGCCATAGTAGGCCACCTGTTTGAAGCCCAAGATTAGAACATTGGCCAACCGTGTCCTGTAATTTCCCTTTACCAGCATCAAATGTCTATTTGCAACAACCCGGAAGGTTTTTCCGGGCAAATGCCTCCGGGCCATGTTTGGGAGTTCGTCTAAATGGAATTCTGAAAAGCCCCCTTTTGGTATTCCCGATATACATGCAAGGACCATTGGGGAACACACATTTTTTGTTTGTTTTAATCATCCACAAAATGGGAAAAGATACTTGTGGTCATTTACAAGCCAGGAATATTGATCAACCCCCCCATATGCAGTAATTTTGGCGCATGGCAAACATTTGAAGAGTTGGAAGCACCTGAAAGTGGGACACCTGAAGCTCGGCAACGCAGGCGGAGGAGGAGAAGAAGGATCGGTTTGAGCTGGCGGCCCAATTGGTTTGCGAAAGAGAAGGTGTTTGTTGGCTTGCTTTGGTTGTTTGTTTGTTTGTTTGTTTGTTTGTTTGTTTGGTTGTGTGTTTGTTTGTTTGCCTGCTTTGCTTTGCTCTGCTCTGCCTGGCTTGTTTGTTTCCTGGGGTGGCTTACCTTGGGCAAGATGAGTAGATGCTTGTCATGTCATGACTGCTTCTGGTCCGTTTCGGGTTGTATTTCCCGACGAAGTGTCTTTCTTTTCGAGGGAATCCTTTTTGGGGTGGTTTCAAAGGAAAACCGGCATTTTTCTTCATCAAAACACACCCACACACACACACCCAGAAGTAAATCTGTTCGTTGCCCAGGTGTAACTTGCAGTATGTGAGCAAGAACTCGCCGATGATGTGGTTCGAGGCGGCTATGGCATTCGGCCTCGGGCCAGTTACGCCAAATTCGCATCGGCGGGGTCCAATGAATTTCCGAAGAGCTGGGGGAGTTGGGGTTGGAAGGACATTGGAGTATTCACAAATGTAACCAACCAACATATGTCTTTTCTTTGCGAACCCCTAATCTCTGCAGTCGTCTTGGGCTCGCCGAAGCGTGTTGAATCGTCATCAGGGGCATATAGGATCACCTCAACTCAATGGATCGGCGTAAATCCAAGAAGAGACCCGAAAAAAGTGCCCCAATGCCTTGAGCTGTCGGCGCTGCGGTTCGGATGATGAAATGGTGATTCGCAGCCTTGGAGGTTCGGTCAGAATTCGCATGGGACGACGAGACGAGCCCTGAATTGTTAGGGGACGAGCCCTGATCTTCCAATGTGCTTCTTGGGGAACGCTCGTAATTTTGAGCGTTCAGTCGGATTCCAAGTCCGCCAAGTCAACTCTCCAAAGCTTCGGACGATTGAAGCGAAAAGGAAACCGTCGGTGTCCCATTTTTCGGGTCGCCCCTTTTGCGGAAACACCAATAAACCCGTCAGCACAAGGAGAAACATCTGGAGTCCGGCATCCGTTTTGCTTTGTCACTGAAGGTTTCCCCCTGAATTGACGTCATGATGGGGTCACTTTCGGAGATGTTCAAAAGGCCACGGAAGATGGGGATTCGTAAAGCAACCCAAGATGTGCCCACCGGCCCCCGTTGAGAATACGGAGGACCAGAAAAAAGGAGGGTCCAGACCCCAAAACACAGCACGAGTGTGCACCGAGGTTTGCAACTTGGGCCAAAGGAAACTCAGGAGGTCAAACAGGGTGCCGGGAAACAGGGGCAGGCCCCCACAAGAAACAAAGAGCACTAGAACCAAACCAAAACCAAAAAAACACTCAAACACAAAACAAAAAGCAAAGCAACACCATGAAAGCAACACACACACAACGCAACTAAACAGAGACCAGCAAAAAACGCACGCCCCGCGCATTTTTTCGCGGATTCTTCTGGAACCGCCCTGGGCCTGGCGCTGCCGCGACTTTTTCGGGCCAGGACTTTCTCACGGACCTCCGGAGGGCGCGGAAGAAGGACGACGTGAGATTGGCGCCCCGGCCGAAAGAGCGAGCGGGCCACGGCCCTTCCCCTCCCCAAAAAAAAGCAAAGGAAAAGAGCCAGCAAGAAAGCAATCCTATTGGTACCAACCGTTTCGGTGTTTGTTTGTTTGTTTGCTTGTTTGGTTTTTGGTTTGCTTGCTTGTTTGTTTAGAAGAGTCCCGATCCGGACTCCGGGTCGGGCTCGTGATTCGTGTGATTCGCGCTCGTTTTGTGATTCGTGACTCGTGACTCGTGACTCGTGATTAGTGATTCGTGATTCGCGATTCGTGACCGGCGATCAACGCCTCGTGATTCGTGTGCCGTGTGATTCGCGCTTGCTTTGTGATTCGTGATTCGTGATTCGTGATTCGTAACAGTGCCGCTAAAATCAATAAGAACAGACTTGCCAGCGCTATGCTAGGTCATTCAAAGCGGAAAAAAACGGGGAGAAAAAAAACACATTACGATGTTATGTGCTCGCGTTCCCCCTGCTTTAAAAGGGAATGTGGTAAAAGCCCCCCCAGTTCTATATATTTTTGCTTTGCCCGCAAAAGATTCGTAGTTCGTGACTCAAAGCGAGGATCACCGGCTCGAAATCCGGGATTCGAGATTCGTGATTCGTGATTCGAGACGGGGGATCACCGGCTCGTGATTCGTGATTCTTGATTTGTGCTTCGTGCTTCGTGATTCGTGATTCGTGATTCGTGCTCACCCATGGTGTGCCGGACTTTTTTCCCGCGTGACCCCTGATGATTGATTCCTGATTCATGCTGGCCCATGGTGTGCCCGAATTCCCTCCTGCGTGATTCGTGATTCGTGATTCGTGATTCGTGATTCGTGACCACGAATCACCTCAGCCAAGTGCACCTCCGGATCACGTCTCGTTTACAAGCTTGCTTCTTGCTTGATTGTTTGCTTGTATGCCTGTCTTGTTTTGCTCTTTTTGTTCTGTCGTGTTTGTTTTTTCTTCCTTTGTTTCTTTGTTTGCTTGTTTGTTTGTTTGTTTGCTTGCTTGCGTGCTTGCTTGTCTGTTGGTTTGTTTTCTTTTCGATATCATTTTCTTTCTTTTTTTTGTGCTGCTAGGTATGTTTGGTTGCTTTGTTTGTTGCTTTGCTCGCTTTGCGTGTTTGTGTGGGTGTGGGTTTGTTCGCGTGTGAGCGTGGGTGCGCGTGTGCGCTTCGAATCATGGCTGGCCGCGCTGAACCCGGATGTACTGATGTGCTGCAGCGTGTGGCACTGTCATTCTACCACTCTCTCTCTCTCTCTCCCCTTCGTTTAGGCGTTCTTTTCGTTGAGCTTTGGCATGTGGTTGGAGCCCTTTAATAATTAAGTCTATTTTTATTTTTATTTTTATTTTTTTATGTAGCTTTTGTTCGGAACCGGTTGCTCTCGTCATGCTTCTGGGTTTGTCGTGCATGTGCCGGTCATGCGACCGAGGAGACGATTGGCTTCGGTGCCAAGACCCGTCAGGTGGCAGTTGGGGGCACCCAGCAAAGTGGAGACGTCCCAAGTGCCGCGAACCCGGGTTTGGCCTCCCCAAAATGGGCGGTTTCCTTTTGGGCTCCCTTCAAGACCACCTCCAAAACAGGTTTTCCCGAGCCGAAAGACGAGCCACACCCAAGCCTGGGCTTCGGTGCCGAGTTTTTCGTGGTTTGGTTGGGGCCTTCACTTTGACTCTGTGGATATCCCTGCCTCTCTCCAAACGAGCCCTTTTTTGGAGGGGTTGGGATGCGTGCTGCATCGCAAGATTAGATGACCCTCGCAAGTGGCTTCAGACAAGCACAACTTGTCACCGTTGGGTCTCCGGAAAATCTCGGCAAAGGGGGTTCCGGAACTCACTTCCTTGGTACTTGGCGGCGAAGAGGCATAGGCTTTGACGTTTAGACGTTTCTAGTTTTTCCCCGGGATTTATGACGAATATATCCCACCAAGAGTTTCACTTTGAAGATATCAACAAACTTACCCTTTGTTGTTGTAGCAGCGTTTTGAAGGCGTTCAGATCAACAATCTATTCACGCAGGGTTTTGCACGCTTTCCTTCGATAGGTGATCACCCCCTTTTTCCAGTGGGACTGGCTGGTTGGGAAACATTTTACATGTTTGCTTACAGTGGTTTAGTGGTTGAAATCCAACCACTTAACTGCTTTATTTACATATATATATATATATTATATATAATATATATATATATATATTTGCTCCCCTTCCAACGTCAACCAAGCTTTTGCCGGTGACCCCCTTTTTCCAGTGAAAATTGGTTGAAATGGCCATGGGTTGCATATCCTATGGCGATACCATTTTGGGGTGGATGGTTGCATCCATTTGCCACCTGGCAGTGGCTCAAAATTAAAGAGCTAGGGGCAAACCGCAGGTTTTGGTCCATGTTTCCGCTTACCAGGGCAACCCATTTTGGAATTCCTGTTTCTTGAGCCATACCCACCTTTGATGTTCACCAGGGGTTTCCTGAGTTTTGACACCCACCGCCACATCTCTCCGCTCAGATCGGCTCCAACTTTCAGAAGCTCCCGATCAACGCCCGGGGCCCCGGACGATTCAAAGGGAGCCGGAGCCGGGAGCCGGGAGCTGGCGGCACTTGGTTTTTTGGAAGGGCAGGAAGCGCCCGTTTTTGTTTTTTTTTTCCCGGGCGGGGGGGGGGTTCCCCTATTTTGAGACAACGCCAATGAAGAAATGTACGGCTGAAGCCACGGGTATGTAAATACCGCGCCGACTCAGATGTTGGCACCTTTTCAAGCGACACACTAGGAAGCGCCTCTGGGGGCGTAGTAAAAAGCCCTACTTGGATGTTCAACCAACTCGCCTAAGTAGGTTAGAACTTAGAACCATGGTTGTAGCTGGTGCGACTTATAAGCATGGTAATAACAGGTGCAACTTATGACCATGGCTTTCACCTACTTAGTAAGTTGGTTGAGCATTCAAGTAATTGCGGTGGCTAATTGGGGAGTTACCCAGTCAAAGAAAAGAGGCGAAGTCTTGAAGGAGACCGGGCCACTTTAAAAGTGGCGCTATATCTCGTTCTGCCTGAGATTTGCAACAGAGAGACAAGACACAAACAAACAGCGGTTTCTCCAGTTTATGAGAAAACCACCAAACAGCCAGTCGCTCTGACTTACACAGAGAAACAAGATGCAAGCAAACGATGTGTCGCTCTGATCAACCCACCAATCTGGGTGTGTCTTGTTTTAGGTTTTCCCGTTGGTTTCCCTTTCAATCCACTCCAAAAGGGGGCCCCTCGTTTGCCTCAAACAACAGAAATCGGCAGACCCACCTCGCACAAAAGGCGAGGTATGTGAGGTTCCGTCCTTTCCAGAACTCCGCCTATAAATGGGAAACCGGGTTCCACTTTTTGACTACGCCGCCTGTGGTCAAAAAGTGGAACCCTGGTGAAACAAGTCCAGTTTGCATTTTGGTGTGACCCCCACAAGTGGCAAGTTTCCATTTGGTCTCTCTCAAAAAAACAACAACTCCAAAAAGGGTACCCCCCCAAAAACGACACCCTTGTCCGGGGTTGGATTCATGCCTACACCGTGTCTGAACCACATGTCTCGTGCCTTGCGTACGTGGAGGGGGTCTACATTGAACGGACCACAAGCACTCTGCTTCGACTTTTAATGGAGAAACAACAGAAGACGAAAAGCACACAAGTACATACAATATCTACACAATAACAACAGCAAAAACAAATAGTAATCCTATTTGTTCCTTCCAGCAACTCGCCAGCAACTTTTGACGTCTCGGGATTTCGCCTGAAGGTACTGGACAACTTCCATTTCAAGATAGCCGTGTGGCCCATACGGCTTAAGCCAGCATATCTTCCTGGTTAAGTAAATGCACAATATACAAGCAAAATTATTCGTATCCCTTTACTGGGGAGGGATGGCCACTTGGTAGTACGGATCCTGAATAGCCACTATTGTGATTGCTATTGAGGGAACCATGACCATAGGCGTAATTACAAGGAGTTTTGACCATGGCACATATGTACGTAACAATGTCATTGGTGTGGCTCATATTTGCAGGGTTCTCCAAAAGGACTCGACGTCGAGTCCTCTTCTAACCGTGACCCAAGCCGTCTTCAGGGGAACTCCGCTGAAAGTCGAGACATTGCTTGCGACTGTTTGGGAAGCTCTCTGTGGAAATTGCCAAGTGGTGAACCCAAACCCTAGGGTTTCTATCCAGCCGTTCTCGACGAAAGCGTTCGGGGGCACTCGAGGCGGTGCTACAAGCCTTCCGGCAAGCGCGGAACCGTGTGCTCTTCTTCGACAACGAGGGTACTCTCGCGGCGGACAAGAGGCTGGGCTCCCTTGCTGGTTGTGGGCTTCCAGGAGCTCACCCCTGCATGGGATTTCTTTGTGGGGGGGGGCCTTGCACCCAAGATTGTGTTTCTGGCTTTTGATTCTAGCAGCTTTCAAGCCAAGCGCCTTTAGCTGCATCGAGGGGTCTTGCTTGCGCATGTTGCTGGCGATGTTGGTAATGCCAGTGATGCAGTGGGTCCTGTTCACGAGGTTGGTGCTGATCAAGCTGGTTGCTGGTTTTTGTGGTTGTTGATTGGTTTTTCCCTTTGGTTTCTCTTTGGTCTTCCGGTGTTGGTTATATGGTCTCCTTGGCCCTGCAGGTTCCTGGATCGGCAGTACATGGCGCACAACAACGACATGACGGATCTCCAAAGCCGAGGAACGGGGTGGGTGGATGTGGCTCCTGAGTTGATGCTCTCGGGTGGGTGGATGCCGTGCTCTGAGCCTCTTTAAAAGATGACAGAAACACAACGGCTCCAGTTTTTGTTTGCCGTGTGCCGTTTGGATCCAGCCCTGAAGTCAATTCAAAACCAGCGATGGTAGGGCTTATTGGGGAATGGCATCCCAAACCGAAGCGTGTTTGCAGTTTTTGTCTGAAAACATCTCGTGAGGATTCCAGGGGAGTCCGATTTCTAAACCTGGAGGCCAAGACAAGCTTCGCAGCTTCAGAGATTGGGAGAGACTATATGGGGTTACATGAAGAGTTGTACCATCAAGCTATCTGTGTGGTTCTCAAAGAGGATATTCCCTCCAGGTAGGTGACTTTCTTTATCCAACAAGGCTCCCCATGGTGAGACAGTCCCTTTCGCAGGTGCAGTTGCGAGTTTGTCTTGTGGCTGGCACTGGTTGTCGGACTCAGCCTCGTGATTCCATTTGAAAGTGCCGAACTAGTATCGCAGAGACTTCAGAAGCAAGAACTCCAAGTTCTCAAAGTAGACCCGATCCTGTTTCACAAAAAGCTTTTTTTAGGCTGATGGCGATCGGACAGTACATTGATGCTAGCCTCTAAGTCTGAAGGCTCAAAATGTGTTTGCCTCCTTTGAAGGAGGAACCCAAGTGGGTGTGTCTTTTGTTGGGCACCCGTTTTTGGTGGTTTTTAAGGGAAGCTAAAAGGAAGATCTCTTTTTTTCTGCCGGGGGCAGGGGTGAGTGGGTCCCCAACAAAAGTTACACCCAAATGGAGATTGTTGAAACAGGTGGAGGTCAACTATGTTAAAACAGGCGCTGCGGCCGTTGGGCCTGGTTAAAATCCCCTACCCTTGGTGTTTCATGCTCAAATGAACACCAAGATCAAAAAAACCCTCATTAAAGGCCCACGCTGTTCTGTTCGTCGGAGTTTGGCCGGGTCCTTTGGCCGGGTCCATTTTTTATTTTATTTTTACAAACAAGTGGTGCACGGCTTTGGTTCACCGGCGTCCTGGGTCAAACTTTGAATCAAAAAGCCAAACGCGAGAGGATCAGCTCCCAACCAGCACGTTTTGGACTGCCTGCAGACCTTGAGCCCGGAGCCCAGACCAGCGCGGAGGTCTTTTGGGGAACACAATTTGGGCGGCTTGGGGTTGAGATTTGGTTTTGGTTTCGGCTTGGGGGAAGGCCCGAAATTCGAAACGTGGGTTTTTCAATCTTTTTGATGGTCATCTGGTAATCTGGTCTAGGTAAAGTGCCCCCACAAGCCCATTCTTACTTCAGCCACCTTGGCACAAAACGAGCGGCCGTGCTCGCAAGCTGTCGCGCAGCCGCTCATCTTTCTATGAGGGAGCCCATTTGCTTTGGATAAGGCTTGGTTGCCAAGGTGCCTAGAACCTTGAGACGTCCTGATCTCAAAAATGGGGGAGGGCACCTTCAAAACTGGTAGGTTTCGATTTAATCTCCTTTTCGAAGCCACCCCAAAAAAGATGCCTTTGCAGGTAGACGCAAGTGGGTCACTTGGGAATGACATGAACATCGTAAATGAGGATTCTGGTTGAGCTGCTGGCAGCCGCCGAAACTTGGTGTGTCCACAAAAAAAAAGTACCTTTGTTGCATTTTGCCAAGGGATGTTAGGACTTTCACTTTTTGCCAACTAATGGGTTTTCCGTATTAAACCACTAAAGTTAAACTTTCGGCAGGGGAGCAGATTTCGCAACCGAGTTACATGGCATCTGGCCCAGAAATGCTCTAGATGGAAAAGCGGCAGATGGTTCGCGAATGCCAGCGAGCCGAGAGGAAGGTCAACCCAAAGTGCAAGGCTCGTTCTCGGCAATTTTCAAACTTGTCTTTTGGGCTAGCTTTTTGTTCTGACCAGCTCAAAGCTGCAGTCGGACTGTTTGATCAAGGAGATGCCAGGGAATATAGGGAGGGATGCTGGAAAGCAGGGGATGCACGCATGCATGGGATGCAGGGGTCCATGGGATGGTGATGCACAAGATGCAAAGGATGCACAAGATGCATGTGATGCACAGGATGCAATATGTGTGTGATACACAGGGTGCATGTGATGCAGGGATGCTCAGGATGTAGGGATGCTGATGATGTTCAGGAAGCTAGGGGCTCGGAATGCTACGAATGCTCTAAGGTTGCCCATGCCAACACTGCTCATGATGGGGATGCCGCCTGCTGGGGATGCTGAGGATGTTCGCAATACTGGTAATGCTAATGATGCTAGTGATGCTAATGATGCTAGGGATGCTATGATGCCAGAGATGCCAGATATGCCAGGGATGCTAGTGATGCTAGTGATGCTATGGATGCCATGATGTTAATGATGCTTGGGGATGCTCAAAATGCCAGGCGTGCCAAGGATGCTAGATGATGCTATGAGTTGCTCTTTATCTTGCTGGGGGCTGCTAGAGTCCCAAACTAGTGTGCGCGCACACACACACACACACACGCACACAAGCACACTCACATACACTCACTCATGCAAGGCAAAACAAACCCCAAGCCCACCAATTCCAGCCACAGGCAGATCATTCGTGGACGAGCCTCCCCTTATAGAGCCTTGGGAAACAACATCGAATCAAGAAGGCAAAGGCGTTAGTGTCCTTACATTCATCTGGACTGTGCTAGTCACGGGTGGTTCCCCTTTTGTTCCCCTTTTTGTAAGGACATGATGGTTTTTCTGAGGGCACTCCGGAAGAATAGGTTGACAGTGCCACACCCCAAAAGATACGGAGCCGGAAGCGTTGCTTTGGCGTTTCCTTGGGATTTAGAGGCGAACAAGACATGTGAGCTACCTGCTTTTTTTGGGAACTCCTTTCTTGGTTGGTGTTAAAGGGAAACCAAAAGGAACGCCACCATTACAAATACATGCACAGCCTTGTATCAATGGGGTAGCCATGGACTCTTCGGCTTCTTGTTGAGCCTGAGGCTCTGATAGCCGCAACACCATCATGATCCTCAGCGGGCGCAACCAGTCGATGATGGAGGAGACACGACAGTCGGTCACGCAAGTTCTGCAGGTCGTCCATTTTCTTCACTGTTGGATCAAGTTTTTAGTGTTGTTGGTCTTTTTCCGGTTCTGTAACCACCTTAGGGGGCCGCAAAAGCACAGTTTTGCCAGTTCTACCTCTGATGTTCCGGACTTGAAGCGATTCGAATCGCAGCACCTGGCGCATGGAGAACGATGTGGGCTTGACATCCGAGGTTGGGGAAGCATCCTCTGGACACTTCAGAGAATAGGGGAAATCGAAAAGGACTGAGAATTGCAGCTTTCTACTTTCAGGAAGCATCAGGGTACCTTTGGGCTGTTTTCCTCAAGGTTACAAAGTCCTGCTGCACAAGCAGCAGATCGTTTCAGCAACCGCACCTTGCTCAGCGGCAGTGTGATGATAGTGATGATCACCAAAAGTAGCATATAAGATGCTTCCAACCACAAAGCAGCAACAAGTGGGTTGTCTCAAGGGAAAACACAGGACAACCAAGCCATTTTGGGGGTTCCCAAAAAGACACTTAAGTGGATCATATTTTGCAGCATTCTGGCTTCCTTTAGTTTGACCCACCAGCCCAGATATCACATGCGCAACCCATTCCTGTGGGCCAACCTGGTTGAATAGGGATTGCTGCAGAGTCCACGCATGAAAACACTCAGTTTTAGCAAGCAGCAATCAAAAGTCCATGGATTTGGTTCAACCGCCCAGCCTTTGGGCTCGGAGCACGTCGGTTTTTCAGGATTGGTTCGGGAAGCTCCCACGGCTGGGCCTGGCGGCCGAGCGAGGCGCCAGTCAGCGCGTGTTTTCAGGGCTGGGGTGCGGCGCTGGTGGGGAGAGCTGGTCGAACCCAAAACTGAGGTAGATGGTTTCCCCAGCCCTGTGAGGCGAACAAGGGCTTAATTATCAGGTTTTTACACTGCAAGGGGGGTTGACGTTTCTCCCCAAGACGGGGGCAAAGGCAGATCCTGAATTGGGCATGTTTTGGTGGATCATTTTGTGGTGCCTGACAGCTGTGATGTCCTCTTTTTTCAAAGCAAACCAGCGACCGGACGAGCCATTTCCGGTGGTCAGAAACCGTGCCTCCCGAAACTTCTCTACGGACCTTTTGGACGAAAATGTCAAGCCAGGGACCTTCCCTTTGTCAGGATCCGTGGCAAGTGGAGGGATTCTTGAGTTCAGCAGCCCTTTGGCGAAGACAGGTCTGGGAAGCAATGCCATGCCATTAAGGGGATGATCTCACATTCCATTTCTTCAGCCGTGCTTTCCCGCATTCCCGCGTGGTCACAACACAAGTTGTCAGAATTGGAGGCAGCGATAAGAAACAATAAACCACCCCCAGTTTGTGCTGAGCTTTATACAGCTGTGGGTCAAACATTGGCTGGCCTCCAAAATGGAACCCTGGTAAATGTACACATGATTGACACCCGCGGTTTTTTGGCGATGCTTGAGATGGCTTCACCAAGGCCGGGTCTTATGCATGCCGAGGGTTGCCCCTGTTGAGAGGGTCATATGTTTCCTCGTCCAAAGACCGGTCATCCGGGTAAGGATCCTTCACCATGACTGATTCCTGCAAAGGGAACCACGATCCCATCGGCCAAAGGTGCACAGGCACAGCGCGCTTGGTTTGTTTGGGGCAAGCGTCGACAAGTCATGGTTCAACCGTGCGCTGGGAACTCCTCTTTGGGGACGCCACAAAGAGGTCAAACCAAAGCATCATGTTGACGCTTGGTGTTGTCAGGACTGTTTTGTACATTGTCTTGCTCTTGCAAGAGCATCAAGAGCCCTTCGTTACCCTTTCAACAATCGCCACGTCAAAACCCAGCCAAAGATAGGTTTTGTTTTCACCGGTGGTTTTCTTCACTGGGGGTGCCGAATTGCTACCCTTGTCCTTGTCCAACCAGGTCAATTGGGAGCAACCCTGTTTCACCTGGAGAAATCCCTTCTTTTCTGCCTCTCACTCCCCGAGTTCCTTGTCTTGATGGTTTTTACGACCATTTTCGTGGCGACCGACCCGTTTTGGGGCGACTCTTGCGCCCATCTCAGGAACTCTTCGTCCCGCCAACCCCTCACGATCCGTTCCCCAGCCAGAAATAGTCCATTGTTGTACCGGGTTTTTGTACCGGGTTTTTGTACCAGGTTTTGTACCGAATTTTGGGGATCGACCATTTTGATACCGGGTTTTGATGACACCTGGGCATGGAGCGCCAGGCTTCTACTACCGCTTGCCCTTCCACACGGGCGGCCAGTGGCATTGCCGCGCCCTCGCTCATGCGGAAGTTCCATCCGCGTTGAAAATCCGCAGGAGCTTGTGGCCCCCCAAAGGGGGGGGGTGCGTTGGATTTCATTGAAACCTTGCATCCCCTATCAAGCCCCTTCCCGGCACCGGCATGACTGCAAGCTCTACGAATGAGCTGGAATCCGGGCGATTGCTGGTCAACCAACTCCCCCCAAAACAAAGACCTTGCATGGAGGTCTTAAAGGGAAACCCCAAACAAATTGGCAGATGTGAACGTAGAACCCAACAAACGCACCCAGCGGTACCCTTTTTTGGGACGGGTGTTTTCAAAATGTTTCCGTCCACAGGGTTTGTTGGCCCAGAAATTGAGTCATGCTGCGTGACCACCAGGCCGTGACGCCATTTATGCCCAGTGGTTTTGGTGTACGTTGGGTATGAAAGGCTGACAGAAGACTTGCATTCGAACACAGGATGCGTCCAAAAATCACTAGATTTACCTGAACAAATTATCTAAGTCAGCTGGTATTGGTGGCCCCAAGTTCGTCTCAGTCGCCTTTTAAGGAACCCGACTTGCAAGCTGTCCGGTGGTTGCTGGCTGGCCATGTCAAGTTGATTGTAGACGGATCCCTGGCCTCATTTGCTACTGGTGCAGACTAATGTTCACTGTCCTATCAATATCGGGGGGTAGTTTGGGCCCCTCCAAAAGTGATGAATCCCCACCAAATTCCGGGACACCCGCCAGTATGAATAAAATCAACCTGGCGGCCCGTAAATTTGGTCCACAGCACTTTGACACTTTCTGATCACTTCGGACTGGTCCGTTTGATTGGTTCAAGGCCTAAGAGTGGTCAGGAACTGAACTGCCGCCTTTGCGCAAAAGGACCCGGAACATGCTCCAATTTTGCCTTGCCGAGTGCAAGTTGAGCTTCTTTTTGCAAGATCAGTTTCTGCTCAAAGGAGCGCTCAGGTTGGCCTTGCTCGCAGTCGACGAAGTAGGGCATGCTTTACATGTTGCACGCAACCATGTCCAGCCGGGGTGCGTTCTTGGACGCTTGGTTGCTGCATAGTTGGCTGCCATGGAGACTCATGCAACTCCAACCTTCCTCTTTGTGGTCTTGACAGGGTTCCCTTTTGGACGCGTGCAAATCGCCTGATTTAATTCTCTGACTCAGCTAGTAGTGACTGGCCCCCAAATTCGTCTCTTTTTAAGGAACCTTTTTGGGCGCCATTTCCCATTGGAATGTTTCGCGTAATCAAAAGGACGCTGTTCTGTGGAGGACACGCTTTTGTGTGTTTTTTCCTTCTCCAGGGACCACGCTTCTGCTAACTTGTGGCGATCGGGTCTATGGCAGAACACTCTAGCTACTTGCACCTGCCTGACAACGCACTGGCCTGATTGGGTAGCATGGGATGCCTTGCACAATGAGGATGGCCTGAGTGGAGTGATTTAGATGAAACGGCCACTTACAACATCCCCCCTCTCTAAAACAAGAGGGAGTGATTACAAATTCTACACGGCCGTTGTTCCTGACACATGGCGTTTAAATCATGCACACTTGGATGCTCAAGTGCATCATTTTGGTCCTAGTTTGCCCTTAAAGGTTGGTTCCGAGCAATCCTTGCGATGGAAGGGCGACACTTTGTTTCCTCCGGTAGCTGGATACCTAAACAGGGCTCTTGAAAAGATACATTTTGCCCATTTGAAACATGGCTCTTTCCGCAAAAATAAAGGGACACCACCATTTACAAGGCAATGTTCAGGTGCATAATGTAAGGATCCCTGAACGCGCCTCGCGCGTTCGTTTTGGGGATGCTTGGATGCTTCTCAGGCATGGTGCAGAAGCCAGACTACACGTGGAAGGCGGAACCGTCTTGTTTGCCTCCCAATGGCTGTGGCTCAACCTCATTACCAAAAATTGCATATCCCTCCCTAATTACCAAAATGGCACCTTGGATGGAAAAACTAAAACCTGCGGTTTGCCCTGGCGCTTTAATTTTGAGTTTGCCTCCAAATCGGGTAGAGGGAGGTTGAGGGACGATGGGTGCGGATATCCGCTTGAGTTCTTTGAGTCCTTCACATTGGACCACATACCAGGCTTTTGACCGTAGCTCATTTGGGGGGAATCAAAACGGCTGGGCGCTTTGCGGTTTCCCTTTACAGTCAAAAGCGGGCTGCCCCCAAAAAACAATCTCGACGGGACATGTGCGCCGAGACCCGCATTTCGCACCGCCCGGTGGTGTTTTTCCCGCTGGGGAAGCTGATTCACAAACTTTGCGAGAGAATTAGAGGAGAAAGGTTTGGGGCCGAATCTTTGCTCTTTTTACATTGGAGGACCAGCTGAATAGGTGCGACTTACTTGAATCCCGCGGCCGACCAGATGTTTAAGAAATCCCTTGAAACACGTCTCCAAAGCGGGAACCCCAGAATTGGGCAGAGACTTAAGGACTGATTGGAGGAATGCAGGCCAAACGGTGTCGGTCCAGCGCAAAGACAAGCAACATTAATTGGCAAAAGATGACTGACTGGGAACAACCAACCAACCAACCAACCAACCAAGCAAACAAATAAACAAACACAAGCAAACAAGCAAGCAAGCAAACAAACAAGCAAACAAACAAACAAACAAACAAAACTTGCAATGGCCAGCCGGCAAGCGAAACCAATGGATTTCTTCCCTGGTCAAGCCAAGTCTAGTGCAAGGTTGACTCAATATGGCTTTGACTTAATATGGCTTGACATTCAATAGGGAACCAGCAAACTCAAGTGATTGGTGGACATGAATCCCAACCTAAAGGATGTCCACAGGATCCCCTATTAGGATTTACACCCATGTGGCAGCCTTTGATCGAATCCAGTGAAATCCTATCAATCCAAGCAGATCTGCAGACCCAGTTGCTTCTTTCGAAGTCCAGGGACATCCAGCAGCCTTCGAGTATGTTGAGTAGACCTCGCTGCTCCAGCTGAACGAACCCTTCTTTGGCCAAAAGAAGTTTCCACTTCAGGAAAACAGTTTCACCACTTCTTTCTCGTTTTTGTTTCTGTTTGAAGTTCTCCTTGGAACAAGTTTCAGTTTTTCTTGTTTCCGTTTTCCGCGTAAAAAGTCCGACACAACCATAACTTATGCTGTTTGAAGGCTGGGCCAGAGGCAGGAGCTTGCGGTGTATTGGCCAAATGGGCCGGTTTTATGCGGACTGACTCAGAAAAGGCTCATAAACTCTGCAGGGTTTGGGGGTTTGGGGGGGGTTTGGCGCCTATGTTTTTTTTGGGGGTAAAACAAGCTCACCATGATACTTGGTTGGGGATCCGTGGCTTCAGCTTTTAGAATTCACTTGTGGGTGGCGCATCTTGTTTTGAGCGTGCCTTTTGAAAAACGACAAGGGGCAAAAGATTGATTCTGTTTGGAGCATGGTGGCATGCGTTCATTCGGGTAGGGGCACTTCTTCTTTTATCCCGAAGGGCTCCCATGGAACTCAGTGCAAGGTTTGGTTTGCATGGAAGCGTAGACAAGAGCTGGGGATGTTTGGATGCAGGCAATGCTCGTGATGCTAGTGATACTGGGATGCTTGTAATGCTGGCGGTGATGGCAATGATGGTGATGCTAGTACCACTGGTGATGCTTGTAATGCTAGCGATGTTGGATATGCTGGCGATGACTGTGATGCTGGTGATGCCGGAGATGCTGGCAATGTTGGCAGTGCTTGTGATGCTGGCGATGCTCATCATGCTCGTAATGCTCACATTGATTGCTGACAGTGCTGGGGATGTTGTGGATATTGTCGAATTGGCAGATAGTTGTGAGGTTGTGAGGTTGTTGAGTTCTGCCACGGAACGCTGGCTGGGGAAATCTGAACAAGACGCAGAATGGCTTCTCTCAGCGTGGCCTTGCCAGTCCTTTGCTTTCGAGATCATGCGCCAGTTTGTGAAGAGGACGCCTCGCAGTTTCCCGCGTGGCTCTTTTTGGGGGAAACCACAAGGACAACCACTTTTTGAACAGGGTCTTCCTGTTTTGACACTGACCTTGAACTCCATTGATTTTCCCGACTGGCTCTTGAGCACTTAGCGCAAGCAAACAAGGTCACATGGACAGCGACAGTGCAATGCTTTGGTTTCCCGTTTGCAACTTGCAAATTTTGTCGGCTTCTGTTGTAGCCTAGGCATCCATCCATACACAGTGCCGGATTTCATCAGCATGCATCGTACTCATCCGATCATGGCTCATCTGATCATGGGAACACTTGAGCCTCATGAAGCACGGTGACAGCTTAGAATTTACTTGCTGATTGGATAGGCAGAATATAGGTCGGAATGACCCCCAGAAAAAACCATCGCCGATTCGGTTTGCTTTAAGGGAGTCCTCTTTCGGCCTTTCGGTTGAGTCCCCTTTCTGCGGAGCACCAGGAAGGTCGTGCTTGCGAGGATGAGACTGTTTGCAAGAGGCGGACGCGTCGTTCTTTTGATTCTCTCTTTTCACTGATATAGTCTCACCTTCTCCATGCGGAGGCCGAGTTGAGGGCCCGCTTTGGAATTCTATCGATTGGTTCTGTTACCAAGATGGAGACTGGATGGGGCTGAAACTTCTCTGAGCACCTGGAGACCCCCAAACCTAGCACTCTGAAAAAAAAGAGTGGTTAGAGTGCTCACTAGATGTGACACTCATGAGCCACACGAATCGCCTTCGGCAAATTCCACAAAAGCCCGCCCTTCAGGGCATTGCTTCTGCACATTTATTGATGTGGGAAACGCTGAAAATACCGTCTCGAAACCGGGAGGGGGGGAATGGTAGCGTTTCCCGTGCCTGGGGCAGACAAGCCCGTGCCGTTTTTGTTAGCCAACGCCGAAAGAGTTCGAACAGCCCAAGATGGCAGGTTTGGCTTGTAATACCAGCCAAGAGAGAGCTTTGCCGACATCCATGTCGACAATCCCTCATAGACCCCTTCAGCGCTGAAGGGAAGCTACCAGCAAACCAATTCTTCATTTGGGGTCCAGGAACCGAACCCCGACTTTGCGGATCGCCCGCAGTGACTCAGTGACTCAGTGACCCCATCCGAGCGACCGACTGACCGAGCGAGGACGCAGGGCAGCTTCATAGAGAACAAAGGCAGTGCGCTGGCCCCGCGCCTCAGTGACGGATCGATCCACGTCGGCGTAGGTTCCGGCAAGCAACGAGGGAGAGCCAAGGGAAGCCACCCGTTTTTCTTTTTTTTCCCCGAGAGTTCTGGGCAAGCATTGAAGCTGGGAAGGTTTTGGATAGTGCTCCTGCAAAAGGGCCTCCTGTCCACTTCCAGGTTGTCTCTCCAAACGGGATATGGAACCTGGGCTTTTCGGGGAACTTTGCGCAGATTCACACTGGTGTGCACAAATGTGTTGTTTGTGGAATGGGACGCTGGCAACAAAGCATTCCGGAGGTTTGCTGATGGCTTGAACAAGTGGGCAGCAAGCTTCCGGAGCACTCGTGGCGTTTTTTGTTTCGGGCTGTTTGGGGTGCGAGTTGTCACCACTTTCTACCTTAAGAGTCCTGATGGCGCACGCAGATCTACGCCATGGTGGTACATATTTTTGGATTCTCATGGCGCTTCGACCAACCCAACTTGCATCTTTGCCAAGGGATTGCATGTCAGACCTGCCAGACCTTGGCATTGTCCCCAGTTGTGCTTTCTTATATGAAAGGACGGTCATCTTCTGAAACCCGCAAGGGAAACTGGTTTTGGCCCGCAGTCCTGTGCGGTCACATAAGCGTCTTCCTTGAAACTTGGATGAGTGGTTGATGGGAAACAAATTCTGCAGACAATCATGAATAATTTGGACTCGGACCCTTCGTTGGTGGCTTGGATGAGTGGTTGATGGCAGTTTTTGCACCTGGAACACCTCCGACCATCCGAGCCATCATAATTCATGGTTGTCGTTGGGACACATTTTTCACATTTTTGCTTGTTGAGGTTTAGTGGTTGAAATCCAACCACTTACCTGCTAAGATTAGAAAATCTTTGCTCCCCTTCCAATGTCAACCAAGATTTTGGACGCTGATTTCTCGAATCCGCTCCCCCAGCGACGAGTTCCTCTGGGACGTGGCGACGAACTCCTCTCGGTCTCGGACGCGTCTCGGACGCGCGGACGCCGAGGTCTGGCAGTACAGAGACGCGGATCCGCACTTCGGGTCTTGGCAGGCCAAAGAGCTCAGCTCCCATTTGAAGGCGGGGCTTGCGCCCGGTTTTTTTCGTTTCTTTTTTTTGGGGGGAAAAGGGGGGAAAAGGGGGGAAAAGGGGGGAAAAGGGGGGAAAAGGGGGGAAAAGGGGGGAAAAGGAGGGGGGAAAAGAGGGGAAAAGGATGGAAAAGGGGGGGGAAAGGGGGGAAAAGGGGGAAAAGGGGGAAGGAAAAAGGGGGGAAACAGGGGGGAAAAGGGGGACGTATGTTGAATTGCCCAAACAAGAGCTTCCCTTCCCCTTTCAAACAACCAGGAAAGGCAACACGGACCAAGGGTGTATCCCACGCGGTTTGCCACCCTCAACATCCTCGGCATCTTCAGCATCCCGGGCATCCCCGGCATTCAAGCAGCGCATCCTGCCATGGCCGCAACACACCCAACCCTGCTCCCTAGCCCATGGGAACCAACACTGAGCATCCCCGAAAACCCAGAGCCAGCCTGGTCACCAAGCCTTGACCAGCCTTAAACAGCCCCAAGCCAGTCCACAGCCAGGTGGGAGACGTTCGACCCATTCAAAACCCCAGCCCACCATGGCGGGTGACGCTTCCTCATGTCTCATTTCCGGGTAGAGAAGTTTGCCCCCGTTCGGCCCGGGGAGCTTCCGAGGCCTCGAGCCTTTGTGATGAGAGACCAACCCTCGGTTTAAGGTCTCATTGTGACTCAACCGGCGCAGTTCAAGAGGAACCCACCTTCAAAGTGGTTGGTTGACTCCAAATGACGTCCATTTCAAAATATCGGGCCCCTAAAAAAAGGAAAAAGATTCGCATGCTCAGTCAAGCCTCGTTCGTCAGGGTGTTGAAAATTCCCCGGTGGTCGATGTCCATTTCGGGTTTCCTCCGCATCACAGCCACGGGATGCGGAGGAGTTGCTCACCGGCTATGACTTGGAGATTCTCGAAGGCAAGGGCTATGTCGAGGCCTGGCTTGGGTACCGCTGAACCGCTGACGGTTTTTTTCGGGCTAGAACCTTTGGGGGTAATCTCAACAAATGAAAAAGAGATGATGGTAAATAATAATAGCAAACATGAGCGAAGGTAATAGAATGGACGAGATAAAAGCAAACAATATATTATTGAATTATTCCTTACCAATCTTCACGAATCTAATATTGTATCTGTTATTCCTCTCTTCCAAGCTCCCGCTCATCTCTTCGCTCGTCCATTCACTTTGTTCATTAGCGAAACAGATTAATAACGACATGTGAAGTAAACAGGATTCTATAGACACAGGAAAGACACTAACTCCCTACCTCGCCTCTGGTCAGTTCCTTCCCTAGCTCTCACACACAGCATTGAGGATTGCTTGGGAATCGAGTGTCATGATCGCATTGCTTTTTTCCGATCTGCCTGCTTAGGTGTTCGGGCAAGCTAGCAAGTGTGAGCCAACCCACAAATAGCAGGCTTAGTTCCAGTTAGGGGGGACTTCTGAGTGGGTTATAACCTAGCAACTTACTAACTTTGGCGCAAACCCAAGTAAAAACAACTTCCCCATTCTTTCCAGGGATCTTTTTCCGGAGTCACCCCCAGAATCTGTTGGCCCATGGTGCCGGGCAACCCCTTCGCCTCAATTGTAGTGCTCCTTCCGGCAAGTCTGTGGGTGTTTTGCTTGCACTGATTCACGTTTGGCAGAATTAGAGCCACCGTTGGACATAGTTGTTGGTAAGCTTGAATCGGCACGCAGCTTCATTTTGGCCAATTTCGCTGCAGATGTTCATATTCAGTGTCTCTTGTATGTTTCTTACTGCATGGGTCAGCCAGTTTTTGTGCTATTCTATGTGTTGCCTTTATTTTGTGTTGGCACTGTTCTAGCTGTTATATTCGTGGTTTTTGTGTGGCAGTCTCTCCTATTTGTTGCGGTTCTTGCGGCTTGGCATCCGGGTGCATCCGAAAATCGGGGCCCGCGGCATGTGTTCAGGTGAAGGTGCGTGGTGTCAACAAAGGCGTCGCGGTCACCAAAGCGCTCAACAAGGCCGGAAGACTTCAATAAAACACGCGGAAACCAATTCCCTTTGAGCCAAATGTGGGCATAGACGTGTCGCTTTGTTTGGTTAGTTGGGTAGGAAGATGGATCCACACCCATGTGGGCATGGACGTGTCCCTTTTTTTGGTTAGTTTGGATAGAAATAGATGGATCCCAATGGTTTAGATGGGTTTGAGTGTGTTGGCCGGGGCTTCTTTTTTGGAGGGTCACTGGCGCGTCTTTTTTCGGGGGAACCCCCTCTTAGTTTGGCGGGTTTTAAAGGAAGACGAAGAGGACAACCGAAGCCATTTATATGCTGCTTTTTGGGGGTCCAAACTTAAAGTCACACATCATGTAGGCCTTTAGTCGCTTCGGGGACATGGGACAATCCGCGCTTGCCAAGGAATTTTCTGAGAACAGGCAGCTGGTTCTAGAACCTGGTGTAGGGAATGTCGTAATTGCAATCTACTCCTTACCATGTTGGAGCCAGAAGTCAAAGGGTTTTGGGCGCTCCAATGGCCCTTGTCAATGGATGAATAAGCCCCTGATGTGCAGGGCGGACATTTTTTGGTGGGCCACGGCTGCCTTTTGCTTCCAAGACCTGAATAACCAGCGGGCTCCAAACCGCCGGGCTCTAGAGGGAAGCTGATTGGTGGTTGGCTTCCTCCATGTGTGTGTGTGTGTGTGTTTTAAAGGAAAACCAAACGGAAGGCTTACCTGAACCACCAATTGAGGCTTTTACCTGAACCACCCAGGGGGAAGCTCTTTGTTCGAAACCGGTCCTTGCCAGGTTTCGCAGACCTTTGGCGAGGTGGATTTCGTCCTGTGCATCGGTGACGACCGCAGCGATGAGGCCAGCCATGCCTTTGGGGCTTTGGCAGACCCGGATTTGTTGGGGTAAACCAAAAGGTCATTGCCATTTTGGGGTCCGTTTCTTGAATTTGAAACGCATCTCGGTGGAACGACAACCTTCTGCAAGTGGAAACAATGGATAATATCATCTATATACATATATATATATATATATTATACTGATCCAGTGATTTAACACAATGTCAGACGGCCAACTCACTCTATTGCTGTCAAAACCATGGGCAGGAATGGGCTCGCACCCAAAACTGCAGGACCTAGCCCCCTGGCTCCATGAAATCGCATCCGGTCCTTAGTGTGTTTTGTGTGTTTGAGTGGCACGAGCCTCGGAATCCGCTACAGCACCCCCATTTCGTATTCCTTTTCTTTGGCGCATTTGTGCCAAGGGATGTTAGGACTGAATCACTTTTTGCCAACGAACGGGTTTTCGATTGAATCACTAAAAGTTATAAACTTTGAGAGGGGGACCCCCTCAGCGTGGGTATTTTCCATGTGAAACGAGTGCTTTTCCAAATTGGGTCCCTTTCCGTAAACTTTTAGCAGGGGAGCAGAAAGCAACCGAGTTTTGTTCGTTGGCAGGTTGCAGCCGCTGTGCAGTCCGCCCCAAAGAAGCCAAGGGTTGCTTGCAGTGGGCTGTGAACTTTGCTGCGGAACATTCTACACATGGCTGGCGGACAAGTCATGTGAGCAACTGAACAGGTCCTTAAAGAGGGCCCGAATTTCAGCCCACATATGGGTACAAGGATCCCTGCCGAACTGAACATCTCATGTTATACACAAACAAACGAAAAGGGTTCTTTAAAGAGACACCAACAAGAAATCATCCACTATAGAAAGGCAAGGCGGATGAGATGTGTTGCGAACGGCCTTCCATTCACCCATTGGGAGCCAGCTGTGGAACGTCGAGGAATTCAGGCCACTCTGAGCGATTGGTAGCACCAACGCATTGCCAATCTGGGCATTCACTTGGAACAGCACATTGGAAAACTGGCTGGGCCCCCAAACTAACAATAGGCCAGCAAGCACTTTGTCCAGTGTGGGCTCCAACACATACTCCCTGCGATGGGCTAAAAGTAAATCGGGGTCTTGAAGGGGACGCCTGGCATGTCATGTCTCGCCTTTGACTTGGCTGCTACTTGGTTAGACCTTTGACCTTCAACTGTTTGGAGATGTTTTTTTCTCCTTTGTCAGGACCAATTTTTGGCAAAGCAGAGCATCAGACTTTTGTCAGTTCTCAGACTTGTATCAGTTAGCATGCCTCTTTCCCTTTGTAGCTTCCCCCAAGACCACTTTAGGAGACCACTGATTTATCGTATTAGTGAGCTCAACCAAAGCAGAACACTTTTTGCACGGGGGGCTATAGTTTTGCCAAGTTTTGCAGACCTCAAAAGGAGGGCCAGCGATGAATCTGCGCAGGACATGTTTGAAGCCATCAATCTGATAGATCCAGAGGCGCCGAAACGGGCGGGGGGAGTTCCGGGACCAAGGGTTCCAGAAAAGAGGCCAGCGTTGTTTGCAACGTGTAGCAAAGCAAGGAACATCAGATGGTCGTCTTAGCCCCAGCAAAAGACATCTAGAACAACTCTCACATGGGTGCGCCGTTTTTTTTTTTATACAGGGGACCCCACAATGGTGGTTTTCCTTTTGGTTTCCTTTAAAACCAACCAGTAGAGGGGCACACCCCGAAAAAAGACAACCCATCTGTTTGGAGGATACGAGCTGGGCTGGTCTTGTGCTCAAGTGACAGAGCAATGGCCTGCACCTGTTTCACACCCATTTTTTTTTGCACTCAACAACAAACAAGTTCATCATGACTAGGTCCCCCAGTAGTGCCCTTAAACCCTTTTTTGGGGGAGGGTTCCTGTACTAACCTCTCCACTGGAGGACCTAGATGAGCAGCGGCCAATACCATTTGCTGTAGGAAAAGAAGTATGTAGGGTGCACGAGCCCCCAGATTGCCATTTAATATGGAAAGGGTGAAGCGGTGAAATGGTGAAAGCTCATCCAAATTCCCACGGAATTGGGTAGGGGTGGGGGGATACCGCGCTGATTTTTATGCGGACTTGGCCTGGGCCAGCCCAGAAGCAGGCACTGACTCGATTGCAAGAGGACCAGCAGTGTCAACTTCGGATAAAGCCAGAGGGCCACAGGAGCATAGGTGTCCTGTTTAGGTGAGTTTGGTGAGTTTGGCAAGAAATAGATGGGTTCCACTGGTTTAGATGGGTTTTATGCCCCATTTACCACAAAGGTCACCTATCTGAATGGGTGTGTCCTTGTTGGAGGGTAGCCTTTCTTGGCTTTGACAGTGAAACCACTGAATTCCAAAATACGCCGCCCATGTTCAAGGTTTCGGAACGTTTCGGGATCTCCGTATGGGTCGAACATCTTTTTTGGAGTTGGTACGAAGCAATTGGTTTTGGGGCGGTGGTGTGTTTTGAGGATACCCTTCTCACCCTGGTTACGGACAGCCACCATTCATTTTTTTTTGTGGGGGGGGGGTCCCCTATTTCGATACACACCCATTTCTTTCTTGGGGGGGTCTCCTATGTTGATACATGCCCAGATAACTATAACCACTTGAAACACCCTTGCATCTTGGAGACCCCTTCTCCAGGAAGTTCTTCAGGAAGTCAGCCTGTGCAAATTGTTGTTAGGCGTTTCACAAGTCAGGAAGTGGCGCTTCAGATGGTTTTTCCTACTTCCAAAGCACGCCCAGGCGAGAAAAGGCGAGTTTTTTTTTTTTTTTAACCCACTGTGTTCCCCTTACACAGAGTCTAGGAAAACAACTCCAGGAATTACATGAAGTTAGCCCGAGCGCCTGGTCTTGATGATTGTGGTTTCGGTGTGGAAACAGGTGGTGCACTCTGATCCTACCAGGCACGCAGGCTTTTGCATTGGGCCCGGCGAGGTGCCAAAAGCTGGACATGTCTGCTTTGGGGGACCTCCGTTTGGGTGGATCCTTGCCTTTGGAATTTCTTGCTTACAGTTCTCGCATCTGGCTCTTAAAAAATGAGACCAGTCAGAGGGGCCCATTTTCCTCAAGGTCTCGTTTTGGGTTTTCGTCTTCCCCGGACCGGCGGCCCAGCAGCGTAGGATTTGTTCTCTACAAGCACCAGAGGTTCAAATCCAAATCCAAAACCAATCCAAACCACCGATCAAGGGATGAAAGTTGGAGCCGGCCAAACAACAAATCACACACAGCAAGGGTGCTGGCTCCCCTTTCAGCCCATGGAAAAGGTCGGCCCAAGTTAGACTCATTTGGGGTCTTCTTTGGCTCCCCCCGCCAAAGGAGGGGGGTCCGCGTTTCGACAGAGCGGCTTTCGCGGGTTTCGGGAACCGTCGGCAAATGAGAAACCGCCCCTTAGCCACCAAACCAACTAGGGAGAGGCTGATGTGCTGGTTTGAATGTTTGGCCCAGAGTGAAATTTCAATTGCCCTTGCAATAATCAAGCACCCGTCGGGCCGCGGATTTTTGTTGCTCAAGGTATACTTCGCCTAACTGCTGTATAACATGGACTTGCCCCAAAACGAAAACGGGGGGCCCCAAAGGCCTGAAAGGATGGCCGTTTTGTCAAGCTGTGCTGATGTTCGTTGTGAGTCACCACCTCATTTGCTGTGTATAGGTACTTTGCAACCAGCCCATGGGCTTCATTGGCTCCCTCCGCTTCTTTCCAGCGCGCGAGGCGGAGACGTCCTCGCAGATGAGCACCACGGACGATAGGCGGAGGGGGAGTGAGGGTGGGGCTGATGTTTTTCAGTGGCCATGGACTCAAGTCACGTTGAACCCGGATCGGGGTGTCATACCACCAACGGGGGGTGCGTGTCCCCCCCGATCAACCTCAACCAGCTTTTTTTTTTTAATTCAACATGAACGGGAACTCACCATTCAACAATCAAGGAGTCTTGCAGCGATGTTCATGGGTTTCCCATGTTTGGAGTTGTTTCACTTTTGGTATGTACCCCTTTCAACCACCCCTCCATTTCCCCCCAAGTAAGGCCCTAATAACTAGGCGGATGGCATGATCGGAAGCCACAATGAGAGAGTCGCCATTGTACCCAAATGAGTGTATGTTTGCAGGGCCAGAGTCCAAGAGATGCGACCCGCCAACATATTACGCTTGCAGATTCTGAAGGACACCTAGCAGAATGGTTGCAACCCGGAGCCTTGCTACGGGGAAGCACGGGAAGCACGGGAAGCACGGGAAGCACGGGAAGCACGGGAAGCACGGGAAGCACGGGAAGCACGGGAAGCTTCTGACTTCCATGAACCTGGGGGCTCAAACACTTGACAAAGTGGACCTGGGCTTGAAAACGAGCCCATATCGAGAACCACAAACTGGCGGCCCGTGAATCTACGGATGCCCCACACTGCCCAACCACATCCTGCCACAAAACCAGGTAAGATACGCAAAATCAACGGGTGGCCCTAGTTCCCGTAGTTGCAACATTGAGTTGACGTCAACCATGTGGCATAGAACTCAGCTTTGTTTGTGTGACCTCAGCAGTCCCTGCTCTTGGCATACCTTGCCAGTGAAAAATTGTCCGCGAAGCGAAAGGAGGAGTACTGCAGGAGGCGATCGATCTGGTAGCCGCTAAGTGGTTGGAGAACCCTCCATTTGCGAATACTTCATCTGGAAAAGATTGGAACATATTGTCAGTAGTGATCAGTTCCCTTCAAAACCTTGAAGAACCCTCCATTTGAAAATGCATCATCTGGAACAAATAACAAACATGTTCAAAACCAACAGGGGAAAAATCAATAACACGATCATACTCTTAAGCAAGTGGAGGAAACTGCGGTTTCTAGCTACGACCTATAACAGGTGCAATTAAGATTTTCACCAAGGTTGCTACCTCATCTCACCTCCTCAAGCATGGTCTGTTTCAAGTGAGGACTGCGTACAAGAGACACCGATGGAAATACTTGAAGAGCCTGGCCCCGGGTCAGTCAACATGTGAGCGAGGCGTTGCTAAAACCGGCCATGCGATTAGGTCTCCTGGGAAAAGTTGGTTTTGACTAACCGGGGTTGGGGCAAGTACCCAGCATGGCGAGAAAGAGAAAACACGCGGCCCTTGACAGGAAAACCGTTGTTTGAAGATCCCAAGGTAGACGGAGACACCCAGGGGTGGTTGATTTCTCCAAAAGGGAAAGCCGTGTTTTCCTCACAGGAAATTATGGTGATTGATAGGGGTGTTTTCCGGTGTCCCCTTGAGTGTTGATGAATCGGGGGTGCCCGGTGTCTTTTTGAGTGCGGGGTGCAGACCACGTTTGGAGGGGAACATTTCCCCTCAAACCGGACGAGCTTATGACTGCGGGGTGAACAGTAGGCAAACCGCAAGTTGCAAAGGGAACCCTCAAGCACAAACCAGAACGGGGCTTAATAGTTGGTGTCCAAATGGTTTTCTTCTCGAAGCACTAGATCCTCCCCCACCTCCCCCCTCCCCCCCCCATCACCTACAAGCAAAAGCTCGCGAAATCGTGCGCCTTCCGCGCGCTTGTTCCCCGCAGTTCCGAGAACGACGACAGTGGCACGGCCTGTCGGCCGCAGTGAACGTTTTTAGACGGGGTCCGGTGCGACTTTTTGTCCGGAGGGGTGCAAGAAAAACCGCGTGGGCGAAGTTGCAGGCTAGTTGGACACCCCTTCTGTTGGGGTTCCCACTGACCACCCCATGCACGTAAACCTACCCTTGTTTTGCGTGCCCCGTTGAAAAAATGATGCCCTGTCTCATCTGGGCTAAAAAAGCAATAGCTTTGAAGAAATGAACCCCATGGTTGTCGTTGGGACACATTTTACATTTTTGCTTATTGAGGTTTAGTGGTTGAAATCCAACCACTTACCTGCTAAAATTTGAGAACTTTTGCTCCCCAAACCCCACGTCAACCAAGACCCGTGGTTGGAACTAACGCGCCCAGTGGCCGTTCGGGATTCGGGGAAGCTTGGTTGTGCTGGCTTCCATTTCCGAGGTGCCCGCCCCCCCCCAAAACCCCGGACACGGCCACCGGGTTGCAAGCGGGGAGATGCTGGGAGATGCTGTTCTGGTTGCTATTGTGAGTTAGCCCCCCCCCCCACCTTGATTTAGTTGGAAACCATCGCAAAATGGAGAAACACACCCTCATGCCCACCCTGAACCGGCTGAATCTAAAATTGTGCATGTGCGAAATGCTGGGTTGTTCAACATCAATTATTCAACCCTTACGCCAGATTGTGGTTTCCGTTGTTGTATTGGCCTCCCACAGATTGGGAATCTTATTTCGAACAACCCAAGGGTGTCCTTTTTAGATCAGTTCCGGTTGAAACCATTTTCAGTTTAGCTAGCGCCAGGACACTGTGCCCTGGTTTCTGGTTCGATTCCCCTGTAATACCAAGCACCGTTATGGTTTCAAGCATGGTTTCATTTCGTGCTGACATGGGATTTCGCCACCATCACTGTCTTGTGCTGACCGTGCGGCGCTCTCTGATCCTCCAGGGCTTTTACCTCAAGTGGATCGATCGGTTTCCATGGCTGAAACCGCGAATCGATCCGCCGGGGAAATTCGGGGACCTTCCGTAGCTTGAGCCCTGACGGAACCCTTGAGGGTTTTCCTACTTCGACTTCCACTCCTCCAGTGACCCCTCTCCGAAACTTGAGCCCTAGCGCCCTGGAGCCCCGAGCCAGCTGCAAGTGATTTCAAGCTTGGAGCTCACGTAGCCCCAGAGGAACTCGTTTTCGAAGCGCATGTGGCGCGGATTGATCCCCGTTGGAAGAAGAAGAAGAAGAAGAAGAAGAAAAAGAAGAAGAGGAAGAGGAAGAAGAGGAAGAAGTGCCCATTTTTCTCCCGTGAGCCCTGGGGTTGAGCCCTAAGGGTGTTGTTTTTGTTCTTTTTTCCCGCATGTGCCCCCAGCTGCAAGCGCCACGCATTCCTCGGCTCCGAGGGCAGGCTGAAGGCCAAGTCGGAGACGCTGCTGCCGGGGTCTGAGCGTCCAAGTAGCCATACAAGTCCAGTACCAAAACGTCCGATTTTCCGATTTTTCCAGGTTTTTGAGGAATGGAAAATGGGGCGTGTCGTTTCTTGAGTCGGTCCACGCATGTTTCTTTTGCGGCTTTTCGAAGGGGAAAAAACCAAAAGGAGAACTGCTGCGCTTTTTTGCTTTGTGAGATCCAACCTTACAACCTTACAAAAGACACCCATATTTGGGAATTTGAGGGTTTATCAGAGGTAGGGCCGAAGGCCTTCTCTAAGGCGACCCAGACAAGTTCAGCCTCTGTCTTTTCGGGCCCATGAGTTCAGGTTTTTTCAGGAAGAACTTCTAGGTCCCCCAGCTAGGTGCCCTTTCTCACCCCTTTTTTGGTTGGGAGATTCGGTTCCCCTACTAAAATAGACAAAAAAGAAACAAGTTGGACCTAGACTTGAGGGTGTTTTATGTTGAAGTGAGGCTGGGCCGTCTTGGGTGGGGCTTCCGACGTCTTTCGCCTTTGGTGGTTGACAGGAGCTGAGATGTCCTTTTCCAAACAAATCGTTTGGGTTTTCCAAGATCTCGTGGTCTCTCTGGTTCCCACCAACAAAGCGGCTTGAAGAAGAAGACATGAGACTGGATCCCCACCAATCCAAGCCTAAGTGGCTTGGAGCTGACTTTCACTTTGCACAGGGGTCAAATCAAGTCTGCCCAGCCGGAGGAAGTCGGAACCCAATGATTGTTTGAACGGAATTTCATGAGGCCAGGTGGTATCCCCAACAGCCCTCTGGAATTCTCGGAACCCTCCAGAACCCTGAAAGCTAGCCCAAACCACCCCTTATCTCCGATCTGGGCAGAGACCTCATAGATTTCTGCAGTTGGGGACTTGGCGATTTGGGTTAGTTTGGATTTGAAGCCCTGGTTCTAGAATGGGAAGCACCCCGAAAATACCACAAAACCAGCTGACTCATATGCTCAGAGTTTTCTTGGTTCTCAGCCATGTGGGCCCTTCCTTTCAGGTCCTGAGTTGGTCCGGTAGTTTCCATTTCACCCCAAAGTTGGTCACTTCAAGCGGGGGATTTCTTTATTTCGTCCCCTTTCGCCATGTCAGGTTTCTAGTTGGCCACACCTGAAATGCTCTTTTCTGGGTCCCTTCAAGTGGTCAGCTACATTTTGAGGATTCTCAATTACGTTTCGGCTTCCCTTCAAGCCTTCTTTTGGAGGGTAATTTTGAGGACGTCACTTTGATGTACTTGGTTGGATCCTCTTTTCATTCTAGTGAGCCCCTGTGCCTAGACTGGGGTAGTTCATCATGGCGCATGCGAAGCGGAAGGCATGTGGCTTGTTTGACCTCATACCCTTGGATTTGACCAGACCAGCCGCCACATGTTTCTGGGTGCATTGTAGCCTTCGTGATTTGTTAGGTGTCAAATCTAGCTGGCTACCCGGGGCCTTGTCGAAAGCGCTAGCTCGGAAACTCGCCGAGTCTTGGGAGTTCGTTCCAGGCCGAAGCGGCAGAGCAGCGGACGGCTCTCCTCCTCTGCAGGCCGGAGTTCGTGGGGATGTTCTTGGGATCTTCTTGGAGTGTGTGGATTGGGGGGCCCGGGGGGGGGGGGGGTTGAGATGGATGGACACTTGAGGTCTATTTGGAGGAGGAAGGTCCCTTCAAAGTCCAAAGCTGTCCAAAGCTGAACCTTACCAAGCCGAGCTCGCCACGAAGAGGGGGGGAGTTTGGTTTGAGAGGTTGATTTTCCCCATTGGAAACCGCCCATCTTTTTCTGGGGGAGTGGCCAGTTTTTTGGTTGTGAAGGATCCCTGAAGAGAATGGGGAAGGTAGGGTTAGAGGAGTGTGGATTGCGGGGGGGGGGGGGGGGGCAAGCCCAAACTGATCAAAGTTTTGTTTATGGAGCCAAGCCAAAAACAGGCTAGATCTGGGGGATTTGGATCCGATTTGAGGAACCCCGCCAAAGCGAGGAGGTGCCAGCGAGAGCCATGATGTGGGTCTTTTTGCCGATTTGGATCCAATTCTCATTTCAGGTTTTCGAATTGTCGGCGTATTTTTTTTTTACAGGGTCTCATAGATGAGTTGACCGGGTCGGCCATTCGGTCCCAGTTGCACAGAGGGCCAAAGGTGCCTTGGATTTTTGCCGATGATGAGATCCCCAGAGTTGAGCAGTTTCCGCTGCCACTCCGATTCGTTCACATTGCCGGCCTCCGCCGACTCTTTCGGGTTTACATAAGTAGATTCTTCTTCTTCTTTTTTTTTTTTGGGGGGGGGGCGGGGATTGGGGGGGCCCTCAAAGAACATAGGACATCCGCGCTGGGATTTAAAACCAACATGAGTGTGTGTCATTTCTTTTTTTGGTGGTTTAATTCCAGGGCAACCAGGAGGGAAACCACCCATTTTTTGGTGGGCCCCCCTAAACAGAAGCCAAAAAAGGGGTTCCCTCATTTTGAGACAGACCCAAAGGACCCCATCCAAATTTCTTTTTCCTGGTCCACTTGGTCGGATCTTCCCCGGTCGTTTGCTGCGTGCGCCCGGCGCGCGCTTGGCTCAGCGGAGGTGGACTCTGCGGGATGAGCGGGGACTTGAGAGGTAGCCTGGGCGGAGGTCTCGCGAGCCCGGACCCGAGACCGAAGAAAAGACAATCACATCAGGTATCATGGGGCCTGGGGAGGGGCGCGAGGGACAGGAGAGAGTGGGTGATTTCCTTCGTGCATCACTTCACTCTTGATCGAGTACTTTCTCATGGACAATTCTATTAAATATAAATAATTCACTTTCCGGATTTTATTAAACATATAAAACACAATCCAGATATTAATATAAAATGAAAAAGACAAGATATAGAAGTAAAATAACATAGTTCTAGAATTCTATCTCTTCGTACTTTGTCTTTTCACCGGGAGCCCTGGCCTTAATAAGGCCTTAATCAACTTATGAAGGTCTTAACGGCTTTGGGCTCCCTCCCCCGGGATTTATATGGCTGTGGGTCTAAACCAGTGGTACCATTTTGGGGCAGGTGCATCACCCATTTTAGAGCCTATTTTAGTGGAGATTGGGATCACTGGGGGTACGAGTTGGATTTTGACCCATGGCCATATGTGGGTCAACATTAACGCCACCCGGGGACAGCAGGTGATAGTCGTTTCTGTTTCCATATGCCAGGGTTCCATTTGGTGGGCAGCCCCCCAAGCCCCCAAGCCGAATCAGTGGGTTGGGGGTGTTTCGGGGTTTCTCGCTTACGAGAAGGCCAAAGGCTCCCTTTTTCCATTCTTTCTGCCCTCAAAACGGGTAGGGCTGAGGGGATTGGAGGCAGCCCTCTGGCTCTTGCGGAGTGGGAAGCCACCAGAATTCCGAGCCATTCAGCTCGAAGCCACCCTTTTTGGAGGGAAGCTGAGGTGTCCCCTTTGGTTGGTTTGGTTGAAAAAGTAGTTGGTCCTGGTTTATATACTGGGTTGTTTTTATGCATCTACCATCTGTTTCCAAGCAAACGACAAAAAGACGAATCTATGTAAGGGACCTGCTTCCGCTTCACAGACCATCCTGTCCCCCCATGGGAATCTGGCTGTGAACTGGCGCACATGGCTTGTAGGACACCAAAATCAAGCCAACCTAAAGAAAGCCGATTCGGCTTCGTGCAGGTGAGAAAAATAATAACATTGGTTTTTTAGAAAAACGGGGAACCAGGCACTTTTCCCGCATGGTATTCTCTTCAGGTTTCGGGCGTGACGGGGTTTGGAGAAGCGGTTTCGATAATTGGTCCAATCAAGGCTCCCGCGGGACATTTCCGTCGCGTTGGTGCAGATGAGTGGCCAGCGACGCGTTGCAACAGCAATGTTGCTCCGAGCCAAACGACGACCTGCCACGGTGAAAGATCATCAACCCAAGGGGTGGACAATTGCCTAGGTTTCTTTGGTTACCCTGTCGCATTCCAATTTCCACCCAGGTCTTCAGATCAACCCGGAGCAAACTCTTTTGCATTGGGCTATGGTGCAATGCTCGGGCTTGAATTGACATGGGTACAAATTCTACTGGACCCTTTGGTGGATCTCATTTGGATTTATGTGCAGCCGCTTTTCAGATTGGCATGCAGCCCCATGTATGCAAATCATTGGGACATTGGGAGACAATGGCAGCAGCTTCTAGATGGATTCGCCACAGTATCCATTTGCTTTTCAGAATTCCCAATTTTCAATTTCCTCTGTCGGCCTCAAAAGGAATCGATTTCACTACAGGACAGATGTAGTTTTGTTGTGGACATATTGTTACGTGTTTTTTCTTCTTTCTCCAGGGTGCTTGTCTCTGCTTGCAATTGGAGGACAGGCCACCTCACGAAGGGCAGACTTTCCGGCCAGTCACGAGCCGCAGCTTAGGCCTTGGAGAGGATGCGTTGTCACATTCGACCAGGAAGTGCGCCTGGGCGTGTTGTCGTTGCCGCGGGGCGGTCGGGGCGGTCGAGGCGGTCGGGGCGGTCGGCGGTCGTTGCCGTGGGTTTTCATGGTTTGAGGTTTCATGGACTTTCCCATGGCCTAGCACACCCATGCGTTTGGATGGTTGTGTGTGGGTGTGTGTCCAAGTTTTGGGAGGCATGCTCCTTGGGTTTGTGGTGACTGAGAAGCAAGCTTCTTGAGTGATGTATGTATAGGCTACCTTTGATTCCGGCAGATCGGCCAAGATGGAGCTGCAGACCTCTGGTCCTTGGGGCCTATATACCTGCCTTGCCAGATTGAAGGTGTGAGTTTTTATGGCCTGGGCTCATCCTCCGTGTTGTCTTGACCCTTATTCAAAAAGCCGTTCTTCGGCTTTGCGATCCGTGTTCGTCGCGCATCCCTTCTTCCAGGTTGAAGGTCGTTTGTGGCCTGATCCTCTTGTCTTGACCCTTTTAGACCCTTCCACAAGTCGCCCATCCCCTTCCGTTTGAGATCCAACAGGGCTCATCAATGTTCAGGTGTATGTAAGGATCTTCGAAGGCCGGGGCGAAACGAAACGCGAGCGCGCAGGTTCTTCACCGTGACGGTGGGCCGAAAGCCCAGCGCCGCTAAGTTCTTCCTGGACGACACCGACGAGGCGCCGAGTGGCGAAAAATCGGCCGGCCGAGCGGTGGGTGGCCGACCAGCGGCGACTTGCGTTGTTTTTTTTTAGCGGTGGGAGCGGCCGCCTTTGTCCCTCTCCCGTGGAAAAGAAAACACCAGCAGAACCCTTTGTTTTGGCACAAAGACACAGCCACATGCAAGACGTGGGCGCGTTCAGGATTGACACTGTGAGCAGATGAAGCAGATTGTTGTTTAGGCGGCCCTTGAGGATGAAACCTCACAACATGGGAGTTACCGTAGTAACACGTGGTGTTTCGGGAAAGCCAATGGGACAACGGTAGCCCAAGCCCCCGTAATTAGCTGGCTGGACCATTGGACCCGAGTCTATGTGCGCCAGAATGGTTCTTAGGCGGAAAGCTTTTCTGCAGGTAGGTGTCCCTTTTGGTTGTGTTCGAAAAATCGATGGGTTTCGATTCCTGGTTTACCTGGTAATCATCTACCATCTATTTCCCCTAAAAGGACACCTATGTTTCTGCACCGTGGCAAGGATTCCCCTACTTAGTGTACTCACTCCCTGAGTTGCTGGACCTCGGTCATTTTTTGTTGCAAGGCCATTTGCTTGGCTGTTCTCAGCAGGGAATGGGGGAAAGACCCCTATAAACAATCCCCTATGTTAGCTATCGCAGCAAGTTTAAGTGGCAAATGAAAAGTTCGGCTACTTTGTCTTCATCCACTTGAGTGAGTTGAGCAGCGCCCAACCCCACCATTGACATGGCAAGTGCTCATCGCATTCAGAAGCAGCCCAGAGATTCGATTTAGCTGGTTTTGTGTAGGTATCTAAGGGGCAGTTGTTGCTTACCCACTAGAGTGGCTTGCCTGCGATCTTGGCAGAGTGTGATGTTCAAACCCGTCGTTTCTTGATGGATGCCCCTCTGGTGAGCGCAATTCGCACGAGTTTTCGAACTTCAGCGAACGGTCAAACAACACGAACCCATGGGGATTTTCTTTGGTAAGTTTCACGCCATGTCCTGTGACTTGTAAGACATGGCGGTTGGTGGACATACATCCCCAAATGATGATGCCCGAGTCCAATGTCCAAAGGGCATTGAACCTAAACTCATACCCATTTGGCTGTGGGTCAAAGCCAATGGGATCCCATTTTGGTTGGATTGGGATGTGAAAACTGGGGTACGATTTGGATTTTGACCCATGGCCATTTAGGCTCTCCTGCAAGGACTGAGGTGCTTGTTGGGACTGTGAGACCAAACATGGCTAAAACATCGATTCGCTGAGGACATTTGGCGGGCCCAAACTCGCTGAGTTCTACAACGGTTTCTGTCACATTGTTTGTACCCCCCCCCCTCAAAAGAACAACACGGTGGTTGCCTTTTCGCCCAAAATGCTTGTTTTCCTTTTGGTTTCCTTCGAAATTACACACGAGTTGCGCCCTCAAAAAAACAGACACGGCCAGTCAACCTTTTTAGAAAGACTGTAGGCAGGCCATACATCCTCAGAGCAAACACATATTGAATCTCTCCTACAGGGACGCCTACACATAGCATCCTTCAGTGTGAGGATTGTTTTCTCAGACAGCTCCACTTTTTCTTCCATTTGCTTAATAATATTTTTAATTTTCCCTTGTTGGTTTCAAGGGGAATCTATCACTACTGTTGTTTGTTCACAGTGGGCTGAAGCAAATGGACGTTTTGTATAGTCACTTCTTCCAGTGGGCTCCAATTGGCTTGCATGTTGCGAAATTGGAGAAGGTCAGGAGGCCTTAGGATCTTTAAGATAAGCAAATAGAGAGCAACCCGTCAGTGGAACGCAAGAGGAATGAGCCTTGCGGGGAGGCCTGCTGGCCCGGGCTTTGGATTCACACGCAGACCCGTTGGGATTTTTGGAGCAGCTATGCCCAGGGCACTGGTGTTACTGCGGATGGACGAAATCCATTTCGCAGCGCCTAAGAAACCCTAGAATCATATGATCCCCTGTAAATTACCAGCAAACAATAGGTTTCCCATGGTGTCTTGGGTGGTGCGAAGCGGATTTTGTCCATCCACAGGTCTCATTTCAAAGGGGCCCTTTCTCGATGGGTTTCCCAGCTCCGAGTCGCCGACTCGCCCAGGGGCGCCCTTCGGGGAGTCGTCGAAGTTCAAAATCGCCAGGTCTCGGAGCTGCTGGCGAGTTTGAAGCAGGTGGCGGAGAAGCAGAACAGGGACCGACTGGGGGGTTGGGGGTTGGGGTTGGGGGAGCCGGACCAGTGAGGTGGACTATGCGGTGGCCTGCAGGGTGACGCTGGCTTCAGAAGTTGGAGCTTGGGAGTTGGACAAAGCTCCCAGAGCTAAAGCCACGGAAGGTCGACCACCCAGGGGCATCAACCAAATGGTGACCATGTCCAGGGACCCCTTTTGAAAGGCAGCCCAACATGACTATGAATTTAAAAGGGAATCTCCTCAAAAGTGGCTGGTGGACATAAATCCCCATGTAAATGATGCCAAGCACATTTCAATCTCAAATGACTCCAGGGTGGCCGTGGAGCAGATGATGCCAGAGAAGCGCCTCAAGTGGACGCATGCAGCCAACATTTCTGATCTTTGGGCGCAGCTTGCGCGGAGCTGTTCTGACGGCGCAGGATCTTGCACGACTTTCGCAGGTGGACTCTCGCGTTTTGCTGGTTCGGGCTTGGATTTATTTTCTTGCGAATGGCTGGTGCGCCAAAGAGCCACCCTCCGTCAATGCGTCACAAGCTTGGCTGGATGACGAGCAGCATGGATCTGACTTGCTTCAGCCGCTTATGCAGATGTCGAGGCGTTCCACCGCCGCAGCCTCTTCGGTCTTGTGCTCTTGTTTTTCAGGCCATGACTTCTTGGGGTTGCATTTTTTTCCGCATCTTTGTCAAGGTCCCAAAAGGCCACATTTCCGCGTTTGTCAGATCCTTTGGGCAAAGTCCTGAGTTTGAAGCCACCATGTTCCTACTTTCGTATCCCGCACTCCGTCCACTCCGTCCAATTTCTCCGTTGCGAGTCAGTCATGATCAGGGTTGTGGGATCACTCGGGGTTTCTCCCCACTTCTGTGATACTTTTGGGAATCCCCCTTTATAAGAACAAAAGAGTCTTTGGGGTTCCGCCCTTTCTGTTGTATCACAGATTCGTGGATTCCATTCCCCACAACCAGGTTCTGTTTTGGTCCATGTTTCCAATTACCAGGGCCAGCCATTTTGGTACCGGTCTTTTGAGCCCCAGTCATTTCTCCGTTACGAGTCAGTCACGACCAAATCCGGGGTCATAGACTTCCCTTTAATCCAGCTGTGGAGTCCCTGGGCTTACCGGGGTGCTAACGGGAACCCCGAGAAGGAAGTTCTGTGGACGAAATCCACTTCGCAGCACCTAGGAAATGCGGGTGTCTGCTGCAAATACCAAACAACAACGGTGTCAGCCATGGTTTCAAGGTGGTGCGAAATAAAAAATAATCGTCCATCCACAGGACGGGTTTACTCATCCGGGTCAGCACTACTGACTTCCCAAAGCTCTACCAACTTGCACCGATGGATTGGGTCTGGGGGCGAACTGGGTAGGTGCCAGATTGTTTTTTGCGCCAAGCCCGGCGTTTGGTGCTCCTTTCGGCTTTCCTTGAGAGCCATTTTCGGGTTTTCCGCTTTGTCTGGGTTCATGTCAGTGGCAAGCAACAAGTGTAGGGTGTTTCGCTTGGTCATCCCCTCCAAAACGGGACACCTCATTTCATACTGTGGATGTACGGAATCCTGCACCACCTGAGAAGCCCTTGAATGATGATCCCCCCGTACATACCAACAAGCAATGGTTTCCCTTTCTCTCAAAGTGATGCGAACGGATCTCGCAACGATCCACAGTAGTGCACGCGGACTGAGTCTTTGTGGGAGTATGTTTCCGACACTTGGGGTTTTCAGGGGACCCACTCACCACTTGGCCATGGGGTCAACATACATCATATGATCCTTTTTTTTTGCTGCCTCAGATGGATTCTAGCTGCGTGAACTTCCAAAAGGTCAGCGAAGGCACTTGTGTGATACATTGTGTATAAGCCCTGAATCTCAAAAAAAACAATGCTCATATGACTTGGGGTCTTCAGGGAACCTCTTGCCTGGGGTACTCACCACTTGGCCAAATATGAGCACCTGATTCTATGCTTCACAACCTCCTGGTCTCGAGCGGTCGAGCGAGCCGGGCTTGAGGACAGCAACATAGGAACCTGGTCCTGGGGCGACTCCTCTAGAGGCGATTTCGGGGGTGCGTCTTCCACAATTGCTTCAGGCTGTTTTTTACTCGTCCTCTGTTGGTTGTGACGGGAATCGATTTCGCGACTCTTCCCCTGTTGGGTTTTGAAGGGAATCGATTTTGCTGTTGGACCCATTTTTAGCTATATTTTTTTTCCGGGGGCCTGAAAAGCAACTGGAGGTCGTGCGGGAATGGGGGGGGGAGCTGAATGGTTTTTGTCGAACTCAGCGGACGGGTTCTTCCTTGAATGGCTTTGCCTGGCCCCTCAAGTTACCCCGAAGTCATCGGATATTGCACAAGGACGATTGGGGTGAATTCCCCTTTTTTTTTTTAGGGTAGTTGGAGGAACCAGGGAAACAACAAGCAGGTCCAAAGCCCTGGCTTCCTCCCCATGGTCGCGTTCTGGCTTTGCTCGGAAGACTTTGGATCGGCTCTCGGAGTCTGTTTGAGATGGCCGGTTTAGGATCCACCATGAGATTTTGTCTCTGGTTGTCCATGCAAGATTGGGATACCTTCAATGTGGCACATTTGGATGTCGATGCACATTTGGATTTCTTTAGATGCTCGAGTTCTGAATCTTGCACGTCGCTCAAAAGGGCTGTTGGACAAATTATGCCATGGTCAATTGGCACTCAGAAGTTGGACGAAGTGTATGAAAAGAGGACGTCACCCAAAGGAAGGGGGGGGGCGGGGGGGGGGGTTGTCATATTCTCCGCTTGAGCCACAATCAAGAATGGGTGCAGCCGCCCTTTTAATTACTTACTTTGTTCTGGCTGGACCATTTTATTTCGAGGGTTTTAAGTTGGCGCGGGGCCAGCGCGGCCCCAAGAAGAGCACCATGGATCTGATGATCTGGGCGAGTTACGACGTCACAGTGCGGGGGTTGACGTCGTGATGTTTCTTTCCTCGTGTCTTGATTCGGTAGAGACGTGTTTACGCCATGCAAAACTTCGAGTAGAGATGCACCACTCATTAACGGTCCACTTCGGGCAATGCACGCTCTGGAGCGCCTTGGTATTTTTCCCAGACGTCCAGTGGGGTGTCCTTTCAACTTTCTGTTGGAGAGATCAGCTGCACGCAGGTACGGCTCCAGGATTGCCGTCTTTCAGTGGGTATTGAGCCAATATCGTCGAGCATGGATTGTCTCACCCGCGTAGGTCTTGGGAAAAGGAGGGATTTACTCCTCCTTTCCACGTTGCCTTTTCACTTAAGCTGAAGGGCGGTATCTTTGTTTTGTAACTGGAAAACCTGAAAGTGGTTACATTTTGAGGTTGGCGTTCTCAAAATTACTTCTTGGGACGTCTAATTGTGTCTGCTGGCTTTCATTGATATTCCCCATGGCTTTTAACGGAACACCGAAAGGGACCACCATTTAGGGGTCCAAATAAGAATCGACGAGCCACTCTAGAAATTGATTCCTCATTCTCTTCAGCCATCGTTCTTTTCAAACACCAGCCATTTCCCCAAGGTGTTTGGTGGTTTTCTAGAAAGATCCGGATCCCTGGAAAGAATGGAAATGGAAGTTGCCCCTAGACTTGGTTGTCTTGGACGCATGGGTTAGAATAAGGGTACCCGATTTTTTTCCTGCAGTCTGTTTTAGTAGGGGAACCCTCCCCCCAAGGGCACTACTGGGGGACCTAGCCAGGAAACCCGTCCGCCTGCCGCTTGACCCAAACCACTTCGCGGTCCTTGGGCCTCCCAAAGCTCCGCGGCCGCCAGGCCCTGGTTGAACCAGGGCAGCTGCTTCTGCGGCTGCTGCGCCACGGCGGAAGCGAAGTGCTGCAAGGCCTGGGGGGGGAGGCGGGTGGGGGGGATGGTTTGGGGGGAGGTTTGGGGGGGGATGGTTTGGGGGGGGATGGTTTGGGGGGGGATGGTTTGGGGAGTTGGGGAGGGGGGAGCTCGGGAAGTTGGGGGGGGGGTGGAACATGGCGACTTCTTTTTTGGGGGGGAGGGCAGGGGGATGGTTGGGGGATGGGGGGGCTTCTTTTCATAGCAGCGACCGTTTTGTTGGACTTTGCGCATGGCGACTATTGGAGTCGGCAGTAGTAGGGTGGTGCTATATGGATCACAACAGAGTCCTGGCAATATTGATCAGCCAGTCAGGTTTTCCGTTTCTTGGCTGTTTTTGAGACAGGCCCGGTTGGCACATGGGCAAAACCAAGCCACATGCACACACACTCTTTGAGGGGCAAAAGCAGATGTTGCAATGGCACTTTGAACCCGGTAAGAATGCCTCGCAGAAGCGGTGAGCTGCAGTAATCACACTTAAACTTTGCATCTGGACACGGACTGCAAAACAAGGATTTCTCCCTGCGGGAAAAAGCAAGCACCAAGCACCCAAAGACAACAGCCAATGTCATGCAATGCTGGTGCCTTACCGCGCCAACAGAAATGCATGCCAACTCAGACTGTGACTTGGTGACGAAGCATTGGGGACCTCATGTTATCGCAGAACTGCTGGCCCAAGCGCCCTTCGCATCAATTGGTAGAGCTTGGACCGCAAACGCCGCAAATTGGTCGACTGCAGGACCACGCCCAACCTACGCAAAACTAGAATAGCTGTTGGAACCACTGATCGCACCAGCCATGTTAGTGGGACACCACTGAAGCTTCCTCAAATGGAACGGCGTGCGGTCTTTGAAGGCGCCTCTTGGTAGCGCTGCGCCTCCAAGAGGCCCTCACCCTCCTGGAGCTCATCATCGCCTCGTCTTCTTGCTCGAGTTGGCTGGAATTTTCGGTTACAAAGGCCAGGGGAAAACCCTTTGCGCCCGCCATTTTGGGGGTTTCGGTCGACCTAAGGAAAAGACACGGATGGTTGGGGACCCTTTCCGTAGAACCAGCAAGGCTTGCTGGTTCAAACCAGGGCTGGACAAAGTGCTCCAGGTCAAAGGAACCAGAAAGACGGCCCTCCCATCTCGCTCAGGTCGACCTCAAAAGGAAAGGCAACACCGTTGAGACCATG